GTATTATATTTGCAGCCAGATCTCACAGACCCAAGTGCAAACAGGAGTGTCTCACCTGCCAATGTACCAGAGACCGAAGGGTTGAGGCAGAGGAACGAGATTCTTCCTGAAACGGATGGGGGATGCGTGGGAATTGGGGAAGGTGATGGGGAAGGAGAGCAAACACAATGATGAGAGATGCATGCATGCATGCATAGAGGGAGTGGAGTGAACAGTGACAGGAACTACAGAGCGCCACACACGGCCCCGAGCGCCACACACGGCCCCGGGTAGAACTTGCAACAAAAATGCAAACAAACAAGCCGTGCATACATGGAGTATGGTGATTGCAGGTTGGCTCCATGCAGCCAGTAACTGAGTGCCGTGCCCACAGCCACCTGCACGAGAGGGAGGGGAAGCGGGTGTGTGTGTGGGGGGGGGGGAGAAATTTTCACCAGGAGCATTGAACGAGGAGGGATCTGTGCAGCCAGTAACTGAATGCTGTGGCCACAGCCACCTGCACGGAAGCAAAGGGGGCGGGGGGGGGGGGGGGGGGGGAGGAGAGGGGAGGGGGAGGGTGGGGTGGGGGTGAGGGGAATTTAGTTTCCAGTCGTCTCAAACCTAAATTACTATCGCGTGGGGTTGAGAGGAATTGGTTCAATTCAAGGGAGCTCGTGGAACAGGGATGGGGAGAGGAGGGCTCCATCCATGCTTATTTCCCATGGGGCACATTTTTACCTGCAGGCCAAGCTTTGCAATCCCAGGCAGCAGCCCATAGTTGTGCGTCTTAGCCAGAGACAGCCCGTTATCCAACGTCCCCACCACCATCAAAGTTCGAAAGGTTAGGAGGTTAAGCGTGAAAGGGCCTTCCTGTAGGCCAAGCCTCGCTATCCCCAGAAAACCGTGGTTGTGCCTCTTAGCCAGAGACATCCCATCACCCATCCACCGCCCCACTGCCCCCACCGCCCCACTGCCCCCGCAGCCATCAACGCCACCGCTGCTGCTGGTGCCCCAACAACTCGTGAGGAGTCTATTTTTTAGGCGCCTCAAAAATAGACCCCGCAGCCATCAACGCCACCGCTGCTGCTGGTGCTCCAACAACTCCAGTGGGTGCCCCCCCTCTCAAGATTTTAAAGGTTTAACGGCTCACCTGAAGACCGAGCTTGGCAATCCCCCGAAGCCCGTGGTTGGGCTTCTTAGCCAGCGCCACCCCATCGTCCACCGCCCCCACCGCCATCAACGCCACACCACCATCAAGGGTTAAAGAGTTCACCTGCAGCCCGAGCTTCGCTATCCCAGGCAGCCCGTGGTTGTGCTTCTTTTGTCAGTGAGAGCCCATCGTCCACCACCCCCACCAGCCATCATTGCCACACCACCAGCAAGGGCTAAATGGGTCAAGGGTCGAAGGTTTTACCTGTAGCCCGAGCTTGGCGATCCCCGGCAGCCCGTAGTTGTGCTTCTTAGCCAGCGACAACCCATCGTCCACCGCCCCTACTCCCATCAACGCCAGCGTCGCGCCCGCCACCCCCGCCAGCTCGGGGGGGTTCCCTGTAGCCACTCTCGCTACAATCACCCCCAGCGGGACGAAGAACAGCCCGCCCATGGTGGGCGTCCCGGCTTTAACTGCGTGAGTCGCGGGGCCCTCCACCCGCAGCACCTGCTGGGCTTTAAGGGACCCCAGGAACGGGATGGCTATGGCGCCTGCGTACGCTGACGTGGCGGCGGCGACTAGAAAGGGGATGGTGAGGAAGAAGGCAGCTAGGGGGCGGCGGATGAGGCGCCAGATGTAGGAGTCGACTAGGAGGAGGGTAGCGAGGAGGGCGACGAAGAGCAGGGCTGAAATGATGCGCCCATGGGACAATCTGCGATTAAACACGAGGGGGGGGGAAAGTGGGGGGAAGGGGGGGGGAGGGGGAGGAGGAGGGGGAGGAGGAGGGGGGCGAGGAGGGGGTGGGAAATGGCATGAGGAAGGATCCTGTCCTGTCGGTTAGGACGCGACAGGATGAGGCGGATGAGAGCGAGGAGGAGAAAAGCTGGTTCCTCACCGTCCTTTCCGTTAAGTGGGTTAGTTTTCCACGGAGCAAGGAGGAGGGCAAGGAGGAGGGTAAGGAGGAGGGTAAGGAGGAGGGCAAGGAGGAGAAGAGCGAGACGTCAAACTAACCGACTTAACCACGGAGCTGGCTCCTCGCCGTCTCTTTCGTTTGGCTTCCTCCGCGCTCTCAGCGCCTCTCTCCTTCTCCCGCGTCCGAAGCGCCGCCGACCCAACCGCCCCCACGCCCTTCTACTATGATTTAGTACTCTGCTTACCTTCTCTTTCGCTTCGCCTCTTCCTCGGTCAAATCTGCTCTCTCTTCCTTCCGCGTTTTAAGCGCCGCCGACCCGACCGCCTCAACACCCTTCTCCATCTCCTTCGCCGCCGCCCCAAGAACCTCCGACGAAGCTTCCTCCGAGCCGCCCACTTTGAACTTCACGCGCCGCCCGTTCACGCCGAACCGCTCCTCCGGGCCGCCGCCGCCCAGCTCGTCCAGCGAATCCGCGAGTGACACGTCAGCAGTCGCTGCGCCCGAGCCGGCCATGCGGAAGAGTGCGCCGTTGCCGGAGGAGCCGCCGCAGAACGCGCTGGTGTCCACGTCATCGCTGTCATCGCCGTCGCACGCCTGATGGAAGCGACAAGGTGAGCGACAGGATGGGCGACAGGGTGGGCGACAGGGTGGGCGACAGGGTGGGCGACAGGGTGTGCGACAGGCAAGGTGAGAACAAGGAGTGAGAAGCCGGTTCTGACACGCGCTTGTGTCCACGTCATCAACGTCGCAATCCCGATGAAAGAGACCGGGAGAGGTGGCAATGCGCGGACAACAACATGCAGGGGAGACGACGCGCGGAGAGGCGGGGGAGCGAGGGGGGGAAGGGGGAGGGAAAAGGTGGAGGGGGAGGGAGGGGGGGGAGGGGGGCGGGGGAAAGGGAAAGGAGGGAGACGTGAGGGGCAAGCGTGAGGAGGGTGGACGGAGCATATGAAATGCATCGACAAACCTACATGCATCGACAAACCTACATGCATCGACAAACCTAAATGCAGCGAAACGTGTGAGCCATGAAGTGCGACAAAATGTATGAGCCATGAAATGCGACGATGCGTGAGCCATGAAGTGCGACGAAGACCGACAGCTAGTAAAGCGCACCTTAACGTCGAGTCGCGGCAACGCCGTGGACGGCGGCCCCACGAGCTCGAATCGCAGCCTGGCCGGCCGACCAGACCCGGCGATCGCACGGCGTCGTATGACCGGCTCGGCGAGGGATCGCCGCATCGCACGGCCGTATGCGAAAGCGTCCAACCCACCGCCTCTACCGCCGAACCCAAATCTCGCGCAAACAGCTTCTGAACACGACGCCACCGTTGTGGCCTGCGTCGTTTGTCTCGTCTTGGTCTTCTGCTTTCCCAGGACGGTGAATCTCCACTTTTGAGGCGCCCCAAAACTCGCCACGACCGCCGTCGTCTTCAGCGTCCTCTGCCTTCCCAGCACCGCGAATCTCCGAACAGCGCCCGCTGCGGAACTCGCCAGTGCTGTCGATCTCCCATGCCGCGCTGTACAGGAGGGGATCGCCCCCGTTAGTGTCAACCCCCTGGTGGACATCCACCCCGCTACTGTCACCTCGGCCACCATTGCCGTGTGTGGTGTGTGCGATGGTTTCGTCAAGAGGCGAAGAGAGCGACAGAAGTGGACGTGGTAACCCGATCGGTTGCGTAAACGTGCTTTGCTAACCGTTGGAAACACCTAAAGCTGCCTCAAACAGCCTAAACGACACCCTCGACCGGAAATGCTAGCTTCGCGCCCCTTGCTGTTTCCGCGCCCGTCTACGCGTCATGGTGTGGCTGCGCAAACCTCGATACAAAAGCCAAACGCCCGTTAGTTCCCGCTCGACGACAAATAATTCGTTTCCACGCACGAACACTTTTTGAGGCGCCTCAAACTAGACTCCTATCACGCGGCTGCGCAAAACTCGATACCTAGTCGATCGCCCGTTAGTTCCTGCTCGATGGAAAAGAGCTAGGTTCCGCGCACGAACGCCCCCGATGTTGCCGCTTTAGTCTCCCGCGTTTTGAAACCACGGGAGCAAACAGGAGCTTCAGCCAATAAAAACTAGCGGCACTGCCGTAAACGAGTTTGGTGCAGGGTGAGATGAGAACACAGCAGAGTGTTTTGTGGTGGTGAGGAGAACACATGGAGTGTCCCGAATCCCGATATTCAATGGCGGTTTTCAGCAAGGTTTTGCCCTAGCTGCACCTGTGGAATAGGTAGAATGAGACTTTGACATGTCACTGGACCGAACTGTATCGTTTTAAGCCGTCTTAGAAACCTGAGAACCACAGTGTGGTGCTGCCCGGCAAGCCAGCCAACCGCGTTCCCCACTGCCATAAAACCCAAGCCAGAGCGGGAGTGCATGAAGCAAGCCAACCAAGGTTTCGTGCGGGCAGGTGACGCGGCTTGCAAGGGTGGATCAACATGAATTCGCCCTACCGTTGCACAGCATGGACTGTAGCTTTTGATTCGACGTGGCATGCACCAATCGAAACGTTTTTTTTTTTCCCAACATCATGCTGCCATCGTGCAGCGGCGGCAGCATGACGCGCGGCCACCAACTGAAATTGCAGTTGGCGGGCAGGGAAGCAAAGTGAACCCAACCAAACCGAGCCGGACGCTTCCTCGGGCAGCCGCCGCCAAGCCAAGGGTGGAATCTTGACGCAGCGCGGTCGGGGGATGAAGGAACAAGGGCACAGGATGGAAAGGCCTTTGCTGGGAAATGGCGCGCTTTGATTGGCTAACACGATCTGATCTATGACTCGTGGCCTGTAAAAGCGAGGCTCATCATCCAATGCGGCAAAAAAGGGAATATTCGGGGTGCCTGTGTGTTCCTGGCCGCTGACCCAAAGAAAAGTTATTAATGCCCTTAATCTCCGTATACGCTGCCTTGCTATGAGGTGGAACTGTACATCCTTCCTGACACAACTACTGCATCAAGCTTCAATGGGCGAAAATTCAACACTGATGGACAACACTAGCGGTCTTGCCAAATCAGCTGTTCACAGGCCCTCTCGTTGTTTCTAGTACAGCAATCTTAGAGTAGAGCCTTGCATGATCAAACATACTAAGGGTGCATCCATATGCACCCATTTCGTTAAAAAAACCCTACATTTTCTAACATGACTTCCAATACTAAACTTCATACAAGACAATGCTTAAGACATGCCCTTTCGGAACACGGAAACCAGTTTCGAAGTGCCGCGTCTTCAACTCTCGAGCTTCTTCGCAAATATCTTTCTGAACGCGGCATTAGAGTTCAGGGGGGTACCATCTCCTCCCGCCCCACCACCAGCCACGCCATTCACCTTACCCTCTCCTCCCTCCCCTTCCCCATCCACCTTACCACCCCCCTTCTCCCCTCCACCCATCTCCCCTCCTACACCCCCACCCTCCTGCCCTCTCCCCATCCCACCCCTCCCCCCTCCTCTTCCTCCTCCTCCTCTTCCCCCTACCCTCCCTGCCACACCTCTCCCTAGGGCCTGCCCCACGGCACGGGGCATGGCAAAGGTCGGCGAACCAATCAGCTGCAGCTGCCCCGCCCGCCTGGCACTAGCTGACAGCGGCTGCAGGCCGCCACGTGTACCGCCGCCGCCCCGCCCTCCCCTCCCCCCTCTGCCTCCCCTGGTGGATGGATGGTAGGCTAGAAAGGAAGGGGGGATTGTGGGGGGGAGGGGGGTGGGGAAATGGGCTGGGGATAAGTATGAGACTCATGACAAGCAGCAGGGACAACGAGTACTCTCATCTTTTGAATAAACTCAGAAGTAACATCAAAAGTCAACTCAAAAGTCGGCTCAAAAGTCAACTCAAAAGTCAACTCTCACATTCCTCTGCCTCCTAGCATCCGCTTCTTCCTCCCCCCTCACTCCCCCCCCCCCCCCCCCCATCCCCTCCCCCTGTCCCAATCCCTCTAGCCAGCAAGGCCAGCAGGTTCCGACCTCCTGAAGAACAAATGGCACTGGCAGCAAGACCTCGGCGTTCGACTCATAAGGAGCAGCAAGACCAACAAGTACCAGAGCACCTCTCACCTTCCTCCTCCGCCTCGTGATGCCCGTCCCGTCCACCACCCCTTCCACGGCCCCCTCCTCCACCCCACCCCCTCCCCCTGCCACGGTCCCTGTGGCCGCCAGACGGGTCCGACTTCTTGATGGACACCTGGCGCCCTCTCATTGGCGTCTTGTTGAGCTTCTCGGCTGCTACTACTGCCTCCGCACTGCCCACCTCCACATAGGCAAAGCCCTGCGAATGGGGGCGAAAAAATAAAGGAGGCCGGGGGGGGGGGAGTTCAGTGGCATAGAGGTTGGTCGGTCAGTCTGCTACTACTGCCTCTGCAGTGCTCACCTCCACATAAGCAAAGCCCTGCGAACAGGGCCGATGAGAAAAAGGAGGGGGGGAAAGAGGGGTCGTTCGGTCAGTCTGCTACTACCACCTCCGTGCAGCCCAGCTCCACATAGGCGAAGCCCTTTGAGTCGATTCAAAAGTCATCTAAAAAATGCAGTAACTAATGAAGCACCATCCTCACCTCCTATAACTCGCCCAACTCCCAGCCAAACAACGTGTGTTATGAGTCTATATGTGATTCGAATCAAAAATAGAGCAGCATTCCCATCTCCCATCACTCGCCCAGCTCCCAGCCAAACCCCTTGCTTGAGACGCCCTACAGACGACAAGGAAAGCTCCCTGTGGCATTGTAACGAGCTGAGTTTTGAGTCGACTCAGAAGTCACCTCCTATCACTCGCCCAACTCCCAGCCAAACCCCTTGCTTGAGACGCCCCCCGGACTAAAGAAAGCAGGCATTTCTCATCGGGAACAAATAAAGCCCACCCTGAACTGCCTGGTGGAGTGGTTAAACACCATCCTCACGCCCCGGATCCTGCCACAATCGTTTTAAGGTGCCTCCAAACTAGACTCCTTCAGAGGCTCTTAATGAGACGTTTTTGAGAATTCTCAAAAACACCCTGCAAAATGAGACGTACCCGAAAGACAGCAAGAGGTACGTCCTTTCACCAACAACGACTCACCCTGAACTGCCTCATGGAGTGGTTGACCACCACCCTCACGTCCCGGTCTCACTTAACTCCCCCAGCCAGAGGAGAGCCCTTTCCTGAGACCACTAGAAAGAAATTGAGGCGTCGTGCCATAATCATCACCTTAAATGCCACGTGGCAGGGCACTCACCCTGAAGTGCCCTGTGGAGTGGTTGAGCTGAGCGCTCACCCTCTACTTGAGCGCTCACCCTCTACTTGAGCGCACCACCCTAAACTTGAGCGCACCACCCTAAACTTGAGCGCACCACCCTCAACTTGAGCGCACCACCCTCATGTCCCGTATCTCAGTCAACTCCCCCAGACGCTCACTTTCGTGAGACTGCTCATTTGAACTGCCACGTGGAAGCCTTGCAATACTCGCCCTAACTGCCACGTGACACCTATGGCACTCACCCGGAACTGCCCCGTGGAGTGGTTGAACACCATCCTCACGTCCAGGATCTCGCCACAATCCTTCAGCAGCTCTCTGATCTCGCCCTGCGTCGTCTGGTGGGAGAGAAAGGAGCAGGACAGAAATGGCGAATGCGCGGAATGAGGTGTATTAGAAAGCCTCAAGCCTTCAGCAGCTCGAGTCATCAGCAGCTCGAGCGGAATACTCAAGCCTTCAGCAGCTCCCGTATTTCGTCTCGAGTCATCTCCAGTCGTCTCGAGTCGTCTCCAGTCGACTCGAGTCATCTCGAGTCGTCTGGTGGGAGAGATGAGCGCAGGCGAACTTGAGAGATAATTGCGCAAAATAATACGATTGGAAAGCCACAATCTTTTAACGGCTCTCGCACCTCATGCTGAGTTGTCTGGGTGGGAGGGAAGGGAGCAGGAGAGGAAGAGTTGAGACGGGAACAAGTACCGACCCCCCAAGAGGAAACAAGAGTTGAGGATAGCGACACAAGGGTTGTGTCGGAAGTCGCTATCCTTCTGTAGCCGTCTGATTTAAACCTTCAGTCTAGGGATGCACAGAAAAGGTGAAAGCTGCAAGACAGCCACAGAAGACGCAACGGTTCAAGTGCGCTTTGATTGCATCCAGCGTGTGCGGTGCAGGACAGCACATGTGGCGGTGGTGCTCAGCCCATGCGGTGGTGCTCAGCCCATGTCCTGCTCAGCCCATGTCCTGCTCAGCCCATGCCCTGCTCAGCCCATGTCCTGCTCAGCCCATGTCCTGCTCAGCCCATGTCCTGCTCAGCCCATGTCCTGCTCAGCCCATGTCCTGCTCAGCCCATGTCCTGCTCAGCCCATGTCCTGCTCAGCCCATGCCCTGCTCAGCCCATGTCCTGCTCAGCCCATGTCCTGCTCAGCCCATGTCCTGCTCAGCCCATGTCCTGCTCAGCCCATGTCCTGCTCAGCCCATGTCCTGCTCAGCCCATGCCCTGCTCAGCCCATGTCCTGCTCAGCCCATGTCCTGCTCAGCCCATGCACTGCTCAGCCCATGTCCTGCTCAGCCCATGTCCTGCTCAGCCCATGTCCTGCTCAGCCCATGCACTGCTCAGCCCATGTCCTGCTCAGCCCATGCCCTGCTCAGCCCATGTCCTGCTCAGCCCATGTCCTGCTCAGCCCATGCACTGCTCAGCCCATGTCCTGCTCAGCCCATGTCCTGCTCAGCCCATGTCCTGCTCAGCCCATGTCCTGCTCAGCCCATGCCCTGCTCAGCCCATGTCCTGCTCAGCCCATGTCCTGCTCAGCCCATGTCCTGCTCAGCCCATGTCCTGCTCAGCCCATGTCCTGCTCAGCCCATGTCCTGCTCAGCCCATGCCCTGCTCAGCCCATGTCCTGCTCAGCCCATGTCCTGCTCAGCCCATGCACTGCTCAGCCCATGTCCTGCTCAGCCCATGTCCTGCTCAGCCCATGTCCTGCTCAGCCCATGTCCTGCTCAGCCCATGCACTGCTCAGCCCATGTCCTGCTCAGCCCATGTCCTGCTCAGCCCATGCCCTGCTCAGCCCATGTCCTGCTCAGCCCATGTCCTGCTCAGCCCATGCCCTGCTCAGCCCATGTCCTGCTCAGCCCATGTCCTGCTCAGCCCATGTCCTGCTCAGCCCATGCCCTGCTCAGCCCATGTCCTGCTCAGCCCATGTCCTGCTCAGCCCATGCACTGCTCAGCCCATGTCCTGCTCAGCCCATGCACTGCTCAGCCCATGTCCTGCTCAGCCCATGTCCTGCTCAGCCCATGTCCTGCTCAGCCCATGTCCTGCTCAGCCCATGTCCTGCTCAGCCCATGTCCTGCTCAGCCCATGCCCTGCTCAGCCCATGTCCTGCTCAGCCCATGCACTGCTCAGCCCATGTCCTGCTCAGCCCATGTCCTGCTCAGCCCATGTCCTGCTCAGCCCATGTCCTGCTCAGCCCATGCCCTGCTCAGCCCATGCCCTGCTCAGCCCATGTCCTGCTCAGCCCATGTCCTGCTCAGCCCATGTCCTGCTCAGCCCATGTCCTGCTCAGCCCATGTCCTGCTCAGCCCATGTCCTGCTCAGCCCATGCCCTGCTCAGCCCATGTCCTGCTCAGCCCATGTCCTGCTCAGCCCATGCCCTGCTCAGCCCATGCACTGCTCAGCCCATGCACTGCTCAGCCCATGTCCTGCTCAGCCCATGCCCTGCTCAGCCCATGTCCTGCTCAGCCCATGCACTGCTCAGCCCATGCACTGCTCAGCCCATGTCCTGCTCAGCCCATGTCCTGCTCAGCCCATGTCCTGCTCAGCCCATGTCCTGCTCAGCCCATGCCCTGCTCAGCCCATGCACTGCTCAGCCGATGTCCTGCTCAGCCCATGTCCTGCTCAGCCCATGTCCTGCTTGTTGTAAAATATATATCTATACAACATGCATGCCTAGATTAGGAGGTGTAGTCATTATAATTATTGGGGGGTTGTTGGTTGGGTTGACCAACCCCACATTTGGGTTGGTCAAGATTGGATTTGGTCCTAGACATTTGGTTGGCACTATTCCAACCAAATGGTCTTTGGTCCTAGGAACCAACCAATCACCAAGCACCACACTTTGTGGTTGCTTGCCTTCCAAGCAATCTCTCTCATTGGTCCACATTGTGACCAATAGGAGAGCACCACACTTTTGTGGTTGCTTGCCCTACAAGCAACCTCCCCCATTGGTCCACTTTATGGCCAATAGGAGAGCTTCCCTTCCAACTCTTCCTTGCTCCTTGTTTTGTACAAAAAGAGCCTCTTGGCTCCCTACTCAATTCAATCTTTTCTCTTCCAAGCTAGTTCCTTCACTGCTCAGCCCATGTCCTGCTCAGCCCATGCACTGCTCAGTCAAACGAGCACTGACTGTTGAAGCAAAGAGGCATGGAGAGAGTCCCATCCGATGCACTCATAAACAGAAATTGGTTAGGGTTGGCCTTGGTTGTGCTTCAACCATTCTCAAATAAACACCATTGAGATAAAACTTGAATCTAGGAAAAGGATGAAATTTTAAGTTCTCTCACACTTTCCAGGTCGAGCATACCGGTATCTTACCTGTGTGATAAAAACATTAGGCTTTACCGCCGAGCATGCTTACACTGAGGTCCAGGTTCGAGATGAAAACCGTATTCTTGTCCGTAAAGAAGCGGCCCTGCTGCCCCTGCTGCCCCTGCTGCCCCTGCTGCCCCTGCTGCCCCTGCTGCCCCTGCTGCCCCTGCTGCCCCTCCTGCCCTCCGTCCTTTTTCTCCGCCTCCTGCTTTTCCTCCTCGTGTTTTGCCCCAACCTGCTCCTGTCTCTCCCCTCCCTCTTCTTTTTGATCCCCTCCCTGCTCCTTTTCTTCTCTCCCTGAAGCCTCACTCCTCCCCTCCTTCCCCTTGTCTGCTGCTGTCTCCGAACCAGCCTCTTTGCCACGGCCCTGCCTCTTGTCAAACCCTAATCCCGGACGCTGCCTCTTGCCTCGGTCCCTTCCACCCTCCTCCGCCCCCTGCCCCCTTCCTCCTCGGCCCTCTCCTCCCCCTCCCCTCCTCTCCTCCCTCCCTCCTGCTCGTCCTCCTTCCCCTGCGCCTGCCTTGCGCTTTTGCCCGCGCCCCTGTTCCCCCACCTGCTGCTGCTGAGCCTGCTCCTCCTGCTGCTGCTGCATCGCCAGCAGCTGCGCGTGCTCCTGTGCGTGGTGCGCTGCTGCTTCGGCCAGACGAGGTGCCACCTGCCAATGAGAGGGGAGGCAGAGCAGGGGAGAGACAAAGCGAAACAAGGGAGGGCGTTTCCAGGGTCTATCTTCGGGAGACAGATTCTTATTCTTGGACTTTGAGGAAAGCAAATCTGGATAAAACTTCTGACGTGCGTCTAAAGACTTTCGAAAAATGCTTTGGGCAAAGTACTTGAGATTCTTCGGAGGGGGTGAGGTGAGTTATGCGAGTCTCGTTAACAACTCTCCACAGTGAATCATGCACAGTGAACCATGCACAGTGGAATCTCATGACGGAAACTCCCTGTTCCAACTTCCAAGTTCGTGAATGGGCGGCCCACCAATCTAGTCTGGGCAGCCCACCAGTCTAGCCTGGGCGGCCCACCAGTCTTGTCTGGGCGGCCCTACCTTGTCTGCTGCGAGGTCTAGGTCTTCCAGTGTTCCCCACTCCCTCTCGAATCGCAGCCATGCAGAACAGACCTCCTGCGCGCATAGGCGGGAATGCACGCACGCACACACACATACAACTCGTCACGAGGAGTTTTCTTTTAAACACATGTTCACCACTCCCTCTCGAATCACAGCCACCCAGAACAAACCTCCTGCATGCACAGGCACATGCAAGAACACCATCGCACAAAACCACACACAACCACTCACAACCACACACAACCAAACACGTTCGAAATCAGACAAACGCTTGGCTTGGGAAGTCCCTCCCAACGCATTTGTTTCTCTTTTCGAAATGCCACAACGCAGAAAAACGCATAATCAAACTCGTGTTACTCACCATACCTTTGTGCCTGACCGCGAGTCAAATCTCCGGCTGTAGCAGCGGCGGAACAACCCCTGGTTTTCTGTCATACTTCACCCTCGTACCCAGCTCAACCGATGCATCTCTACCCCATACCTCTGTGCCTGACGGCGAATCGAATCTCCGGCTGTAGCAGCGGCGGAAAATTCCTCGTGCCTCGTGAAGGCACCCCCTCTCAGTCTCGAACCGAATGAAAGCCAGCCACGCCTCGTGAGAGGCACCGCTGTTGGGGGTGGTGGCAAGCAGGGGAGGGAGAAGAGGAGAAAGAGGGCGGAGACAGGGAGGGAGAAGAGGAGAAAGAGGGCGGAGACAGGGAGGGAGAAGAGGAGAAAGAGGGCGGAGACAGGGAGGGAGAAGAGGAGAAAGAGGGCGGAGACAGGGAGGGAGAAGAGGAGAAAGAGGGCGGAGACAGGGAGGGAGAAGAGGAGAAAGAGGGCGGAGACAGGGAGGGAGAAGAGGAGAAAGAGGGCGGAGACAGGGAGGGAGAAGAGGAGAAAGAGGGCGGAGACAGGGAGGGAGAAGAGGAGAAAGAGGGCGGAGACAGGGAGGGAGAAGAGGAGAAAGAGGGCGGAGACAGGGAGGGAGAAGAGGAGAAAGAGGGCGGAGACAGGGACAACAGGAGGGCATGTTAGGGCGGAAGAGAACTGTGCCTCGTGAAGGCACCCCCTCTCAGTCTCGAACCGAATGAAAGCCAGCCACGCCTCGCGAGAGGCACCGCTGTCGGGGGTTGGGTAGAGTAGAGGGAGGCTCAAGACAGACGGTATGTGAGGGTGATTGATGCATGGCCTTGTCCCTGTGACTCTTGAAAGCTCCCCCTTTTAGTCTCAACTGAATGAAAGCGAGCCATGCGTGGTGAGAGGCACTGCTGTGGAAGTTAGGGACGGAGGAGAACAGGTAAGGGCATGTCAAGGCAAAAACGTCCCCCAGTCGTCGAAACGCACCCCCCCGCTCAAACTCGAAAGCCAGCTACGCCTGGTGAGAGGCACTGCTGATGCGGGTGGGGGCAGAGGAGAGGGGATAAGGGAGGGAGCGTGACGGCAAGGAAATGGGGGGATGGAACGAGGGAGGAGGAATGGATGAGGGGTGCATCGAGCCGTGCGTGTTAGCGCATTGTCAAGACTCCTCTCTCCTGTATCAAAACGAACGAATGTGACTTTGGAGTCAAAATTGAGTCAACCGCCTCAAAGGTGCATTGCACCATGCAGGGTGTTTTGAGAATTCGAAGAAACACTCTGGAGTCTAAATTGAGTTGACTCAAAGGTGAATTGTGCCATGCATGGCATGTCATGTAACTGCATTGAGAAGGCTCCTCTTTCCAGCCTCAAACTGAACGAACGCGAGCTGCAGCCGCAGCAGCAGCAGGAGGAGCAGGAGCCACAGCAGCAGCAGGAGCAGCAGCAGCAGCCGCAGCAGCAGCAGCGCAGGCCGGAGAGGAGACTCACTGCTTCTTCACGAACTGCTCCCAAACGCCCCTCCCAGCTGCACCACCTTCTCCCACCATTCCAGTTGCGCCTGCTGCCCCCGCCAAGTGAGCCTCAATGTGCGCCTGGTACCCCGCCAGCTGCAGCAGCGCTTGCTGGTGGTCGGGGAAGTAAGACGCCATGAAGGCAGAGGCGCGCTGAGGGGAGGGGCGTGGAGGAGAGAGCGGGAACGGGAAAGTCTATTTTTGAGGCGCCTAAAAATTAGACTTCTCACGCTGAGGGGAGGGGAATGGAGGAGAGAGCGGGGACGGTGGGGCATGAAGGAAAAGGGGTTGTGGCTGAGCTTGCTGGTGGTCCGGGGTGGGGTGCGTGCATCAGAAATACGCCATGAGGTCAGATGCGCACTTCGGGAGGGGAGAAGGCGATGGATGGAAGCAGTGGGAATGGGAGAGAGGGGATTAGAAAGTGCTCGCAGCTGAACTTGTGAGTGCTTGAAAGCTTAGTTCGCTAAACGCGTTTGTAGCAACTAAGCTTGCAAGGTGTCTACCTACCAGCTACTACCGCTCATGCTCACTACGAGCAGACGTGCACACAATTATCGCACCGTACGATTCCTCATCGTACCTCGAAAGTAGCCCGAAGAGTGTCTTTAAGTTTTGACCTTTCATCCTCGCTAAGAGACGCCCCTTTAAGAGCGCCTTTAGAAGACTCAGGAGGCAGCAGGTGGCGCCTCAAGCCATCCAAGCGGGTGAGGAAGATGTCGAAATACTGTTGGGGCAGGTAGGGGAATGGGAGCCATGGGGATGGATGCATGAGGGAGCCATGGAGTGACGTGACCGCCTGAGAATGAAATGAGGAAACATGCAGTGGGTGGGCACTGCGGCAACCATCAGAGCATGGGGCTGTCCAAGCGGGTGAGAAAGATGTCGAAATACTGTTGGGCAGGGCCGCAGGGGGGAAGGGAGAGTTGGGATGGATGCAAGAGGGAGCCATGGAAACATGCAGTGGGAGCTGCGGCAACCGTCAGAGCATGGGGCCGTCCAAGCGGGTGAGAGAGATGTCCGTCCAAGCCGGCGCGGTAAATGTCGAAATACTGCTTTAAAATATCGCCTGTTTTTGCTCCTGCTATATCATTCTTGCGGCAGGGAGTGGGGAGAGAAAGGTGGATGGTAGAAGAGAGAAGAGGAAAGGCTAAACAAACAGGACAGGAGTGGCGGACTGGTGTTGTTGAGAATTCTTAAAAACACCTTGCGAAGTAAAATAAACAGGACAGGAGTGGCAAGGCGAACAGGAAACGAAGATGTTACCTCAGCAGGCTGGCCTAGAGACACCAGACAGACAACAAGCACTCATCGTGAGTCGTGCAAAAAGGAGAGAGTAGGAGAGAGGGTGGTCAGGTCAACCGTCAAGGGCAGGTTTACGTCATCTGCAGACTGGACTTAGACATGATCAAAATGCGATTGCGATTTAAATCGCATCGCATGCAGGTGCGATGTTTAAAAATGCGATGCGATTTTAAATCGCATCGCGCGATTTATTTTTCCAAAAAAAAAAATTCGCACATCACATTTTACCCGCGATGTATTAAAAAATCGCATGCGATATTTAATTAAATCGCAAAATGCGATTTTAAATCGCATCGCGTTTTAAAACAGAATTAAAAAGCACCCCAAAAAATTAGAAAAAAACCATGGCTGCGGGGAAATTGACTCACGGGCAGTCGTTAAGCTAGAGTGCAAATAACCAGTGTGGTTTCGTAGTGGGTTTCAGAGTGGGTTTCAGTGCAATATCGCGTGCGATTTTTTAAAAATCGCATATCGCATTTAAATCGCGTTTTTTAAGCGCGATTAAAATGCGATTTAAATTAAATCGCGCGATATTAATTCATCGCATCGCGCGATGATAAAAAAAAAAAAAAAACATCGCCATCGCAAAAACGCGATTAAATGCGATGCGATGCGATGCGATGCGATTTTTTTTGCCCATGTCTAACTGGACTCCAGACACAAGGGCCTTCTCGAAGAGAGAGGTGGGCATTGAGTGGACACAGAAAAACCAGGAAGTGGTAGAGTCGAAGGAGGAGGGCCAATAGGGGTGCCCAAGCTTACCTCGTCTGCAGGCTGGACTCCAGACACAAGGGCCTTCTCGAAGAGGGAGGTGGGCATTGAGTGGACACAGAAAAACCAGGAAGTGGTAGAGTCGAAGGAAGAGGGCAAATAGGGGTGCCCAAGCTTACCTCATCTGCAGACTGGTCTCCAGACACAAGGGCCTTCTCGAAGAGGGAGGTGGGCATTGAGTGGACACAGAAAAACCAGGAAGTGGTAGAGTCGAAGGAAGAGGGCCAATAGGGGTGCCCAAGCTTACCTCATCTGCAGACTGGTCTCCAGACACAAGGGCCTTCTCAAAGAGGGAGGTGGGCATTGAGTGGACACAGAAAAACCAGGAAGTGGTAGAGTCGAAGGAAGAGGGCCAATAGGGGTGCCCAAGCTTACCTCATCTGCAGACTGGTCTCCAGACACAAGGGCCTTCTCGAAGAGGGAGGTGGGTATAGAGTGGACACAGAAAAACCAGGAAGTGGTAGAGTCGAAGGAAGAGGGCCAATAGGGGTGCCCAAGCTTACCTCATCTGCAGACTGGTCTCCAGACACAAGGGCCTTCTCGAAGAGGGAGGTGGGCATTGAGTGGACACAGAAAAACCAGGAAGTGGTAGAGTCGAAGGAAGAGGGCCAATAGGGGTGCCCAAGCTTACCTCATCTGCAGACTGGTCTCCAGACACAAGGGCCTTCTCGAAGAGGGAGGTGCGAGAGGTGAGTACGAGAGAGGGTGGTCGGGTCAAGGGCAGTCTTACCTCATCTGCAGACTGGACGCCAGACACAAGGGCCTTCTCGAAGACCTGAAACGACGGATGAGATCAGAAAGAAGGTAGGCAAACTCGTGATGAGATGAAATCAGGCAGTGGGGTGACGAGAATGCTCCAACCGCAAAATGAGAAAAACAAACCAAAACAAGCGAACACGAGGGGAGTCTTGATTCAGAAGTAGAAGGAACATTCTGAACTAGCGATTCAGATTGCACTGAGATTTTCCATACTAGCGCTGACATGCCCTACCTCTGCCATGTCAGCATCAGCGGCCCCCAGTCGCTCAAGTGCAAGGAGGTAGCGAGTCCAAAGAGAGCCGACCCACGGGCAGTTTCGGGCTGCCCGGAAATAAACTGAGCGCACTACAGAAGGCACCTGGCGATACAAGAGGGTAGAAACGAGAGAGATAACAGCAAGAACGATCAGAAAGGTAAGCATCCTGTCCCAGGAGAAGAGGGAGGAGAAGCCGGGAGAACAATCACCCTGCCACAGTGCCACTCCCTGCCCCTGTAACACCTGGTGATAGAAGAGGGTAGGGAAGAGACAGATAACATCAAGAACGATCAGAGAGGCATGCAAAGTGAGGAAGCCTGCTGGAAGTAGAGACCAGGGAGCTCAAGGAAGAAAGGGAGTCAATAGCGTTTACCCAGCAGCTTAAAACTGCTACAGTAACCATGGAAGATAACTTTGAAGTGAGTCGACCTTTTCAAGAGAAGGACCTTGAGCCTGTGGTCAGCGAGGTCGATGTACTTGAGCCACACGTGAAAGACCACAGGCAGCTGTGTTTCAACCCGCACCTTGAGCATGTGTACCTTCAATTCGTGGTCAACGAGGTCGATGTACTTGAGCCACACGTCAAAGACCACAGGCAGCTGTATTTCAACCCGCACCATGAGCATGTGTACCTTCAATTCGTGGTCAACGAGGTCGATGTACTTGAGCCACACGTCAAAGACCACAGGCAGCTGTATTTCAACCCGCACCTTGAGCATGTGTACCTTCAATTCGTGGTCAACGAGGTCGATGTACTTGAGCCACATGTCAAAGACCACAGGCAGCTGTATTTCAACCCGCACCTTGAGCATGTGTACCTTCAATTTGTGGTCAACGAGGTCGATGTACTTGAGCCACACGTCAAAGACCACAGGCAGAGCCGTGACCATCCTCTCGTGCATGGCCTGCTGACGTGGCATGTCGCCACTGGCCGCCTCCAACGCCAGGTACTCCTGGGGGAGGGAGGGGCGCACAACACAGGGCAAGAGGATGGGCGGTCGGGGGGAGAAGGGTGGGAAGTGCGGGGGGTGGGGAAGAATCGGGCACAGTGCAAGGTACTCCTGGGGGAGGGGGGCACAAGGCAGGAGGAAAGAGAGATGGTGGATGAAAGAATGGGGAGGCAATAGGGGAACGAACGGCTTGCAGATGGTTTTTGAGAATTAAAAAAAAGACGGCCTTCAATGCAAGGTACTCCTGGGGGAGGGGAGCAAGGCAGGAGGAAAGGGAGATGGACCAGGGAAGGGCGGGGAGACCGTAGGGGAACAATTTGCAGATTGTTCTTGAGAATTCTCAAAGACTGCCTCCAATGCCAGGTACTCCTGGGGGAGGGGGGCACAACACAAGGCAGGAGGATAGAGAGATGGACGATGGCAGGGTGGGGAGACCATAGGGGAATGGTTTGGGGGGATACAATGGGGACGGGTGGGAGATAGTGAGGGGACAACATATGGCCATTCACGTCAACAGACCAGGTAACCCACATATACTACCTCACATCAACCCATGCACGTCACCCCAGCCACATCACCATCCACATCACCCCATGCACATCACCCCATGCCCATCACCCCATGCCCATCACCCCATGCCCATCACCCCATGCCCATCACCCCATGCCCATCACCCCATGCCCATCACCCCATGCCCATCACCCCATGCACATCACCCCATGCACATCACCCCATGCCCATCACCCCATGCCCATCACCCCATGCCCATCACCCCATGCCCATCACCCCATGCCCATCACCCCATGCCCATCACCCCATGCCCATCACCCCATGCCCATCACCCCATGCCCATCACCCCATGCCCATCACCCCATGCACATCACCCCATGCCCATCACCCCATGCCCATCACCCCATGCCCATCACCCCATGCCCATCACTCCATGCACATCACCCCATGCCCATCACCCCATGCCCATCACCCCATGCCCATCACCCCATGCCCATCACCCCATGCCCATCACCCCATGCACATCACCCCATGCACATCACCCCATGCCCATCACCCCATGCCCATCACCCCATGCCCATCACCCCATGCCCATCACCCCATGCCCATCACCCCATGCCCATCACCCCATGCCCATCACCCATGCACATCACCCCATGCCCATCACCCCATGCCCATCACCCCATGCCCATCACCCCATGCCCATCACCCCATGCCCATCACCCCATGCCCATCACCCCATGCCCATCACCCCATGCCACATCACCCCATGCACATCACCCCATGCCCATCACCCCCCATGCCCATCACCCCATGCCCATCACCCCATGCACATCACCCCATGCCCATCACCCCATGCCCATCACCCCATGCCCATCACCCCATGCCCATCACCCCATGCCCATCACCCCATGCCCATCACCCCATGCCCATCACCCCATGCCCATCACCCCATGCCCATCACCCCATGCCCATCACCCCATGCCCATCACCCCCATGCCCATCACCCCATGCCCATCACCCCATGCCCATCACCCCATGCCCATCATCCCATGCCCATCACCGTACCGTGTATGCCAGCATCAGCTCATCACTCTTGTCAAAAGTAGCCACAGCACCACCACCACTCCCACCACCTGCACCACCTTCCCCTCCCTTCCCCCCTCCCCCACTCCCTCCCCCTGCCGCTGCAGCAGCGGCACCCTCCTCCTCCACTCTTCTCTTCTCCCCCTCCAGCCGCCCCACCCTCTCCTCCACCCCCCTCCTCTCCCCCACCATCTTTTCCGCTTTCAAATACGCCGCCTTGACGCTTCCTGGAAGCTTCTGAGCGTCCGGGGAAGAGGGAGAGGCGGCGGAGGAGGGCGGAGGAGGGTCAGCAGGAAGCTTCTCCCCTCCTTCCTTCTCCTCCCAAGCCAGGTACGCGGCCAGCGTGGCAGGCAGCTGCAAATGAGGCACCGCCAGCTGGCGATGGAAAAGCGCGCGCACCCGGGTGGCCTGCTTCGTCCTTTCCTCCTCTCCCAAACCCCCCTTCCCCTCCTCCTCCCCTTTCCTCACATTTATCAAGACCTCCATCTCAAGTCCCCTGTACGTCCCCCAGACAGATGCGCCCTCCCCCAGGTGCAACCCAGCCTGGGTTAACGCCTGCTCTGCTGTGCCCCTGAACAGCTTGAGGCCCTCGGGCGTGCGTGTGGTGATGGCGGGGTGGTGGGCCGTGAGGAACGAGAGGTAAGCCTGCCAGAGAGAGGGGGACTGGGGAAGTGCATTGGGGGGGGGGGGGGGGGAAGAGGGGGGAAGGGAGGGGGGAAGGGAGGGGGGAAGGGAGGGGGGAAGGGAGGGGGGAAGGGAGGGGGGAAGGGAGGGGGGAAGGGAGGGGAGGAGATAAATACGATTGATTCGAGAGCTTGAGGCCCTCAGGGGTGCGTGTGGTGATGGCGGGTTGGTGGGCGGTGAGGAACGAGATGCAGGCCTGCCAGAGGGAGGGGGACTGAGGGTCGAAAGGGGGAGGTTGGGGAGGGGGGTTAGGGGAAGAGATAGGGGACGAGTGAGTGTAGTCACGTGGCTGATTGAACAGCTTGAGGCCCTCAGGTGTGTGACCCCAGATGCGCCCTCCCCAGGTGCAACCCGGCCTGGGTTAACGCCTGCTCTGCTGTGTCCCTGTACAGCTTGAGGGCCGAGGCCCTCGGGGGTATGTGGGTGGTGATGGCAGGGTGGTGGGAGATGAGGAAAGAGAGGCAGGCCTGCGGGCGAGAGGGGGACTGGGTGGATAAGAAGGGGTGAGGGGGGAAGGGGGGATGGGGTTGGGGTTTAGGGGGGTTAGGGGGTTAGGGGAAGAGTGAGATGTGCGAGGGAGGAGGTAGGCCCGCCGGATCGTCGCAGATCGAGGGAGAGGACTGGGGAAAGGAGCGCGATTGGGGAGCGGGGAGGTTAGAGGAGAGCGGTATGTGTGTGGGATGCACGTGAGAGGGACAGAGAGAGGGGGGGACGCCCTCACTGACAGAGAGAAGGGGATAGGACTCCAAAAAAAGGAAGGGAGGGGAGGGGAGGGGAGGGGAGGGGAGGGGAGGGGAGGGGAGGGGGGCGTTTGGGTGACGAGAAAGCGGATGGAGCCTTGAGTGGAGACGGATGCATGCACGTGATTGGTTGAAAGAGATGAAAAGAGAGGGATGCAGAAGGAAAAGGAGCAGAAACTGAAGGAGCAGAGGGAAGGGAAGGGAAAGGTGAATTGAGGAGAAGAGTGGGAAGTGGGAAAGTGCGAGAAGGAAAGGACGAATACAACGGACCATAGAAAGAAAGGAGGCGAAATGGGGAGTACCTACCCAGGATTCCATGTGTAATGAGGCGATTTTAGAGTCGACTCAAAAATCGACTCATTACACACGAGGCGAATTGGGGAGTACCCAGGATTCCATCAGTATAAGGACCGCTTGAGAGAGTGTGAGTGAAGAGAGGGGGATGTTACCACACACACTCTCCTTCCCACGCTTACCACAGGCAAAGAGGGATGGCAAGGATTAGGGATATGGGAGGGAGGGGAGGGAAGAACGGGTGGGAGGGGGGTATGGGAGGAAAGGGAGAGGGGAGGGGTGGGGGTGAGGGGATATGGGAGGAGAGGGAGAGATATTGGGGGGGGGGGGGGAGGGATATGGGAGGAGAGGAAGAGATATGGGGGGGGGGGAGACTCACCACATACTCCTCCACTCCACGCTGGTACAGAGCTTCCACCTTTGCCACGTCAGCATCTCTGTGGGTTTTAACAAACAGTAAAACCAGAGGGGGACACGAAAACAACATGGAATGGCACGGACGAAGAGCGACATTTCTCTTCAAGATGAGAGCGGAGGATGGGAAAATGTAGGCAGCGAGTAGGTACACTGTCTACACGTGCTCAAAGCGTAGGATGGGAGTAGGTGCACTGTGCAGAATGTTTTGATAGCTCCAGAAGAGGCACTCCAGAAGAGGCACATAAAGAGAAAGAAGGCTGGAAGAGTGTGCGGCCGTACGAGGCAATGAGGCTGGTCTCGTCGTGCGCCCACTGCTGCCACATGGCGGGAGGCAGAGCACTCACAGTGCACTGCACTCATGGCACGTCCCCACGAACTGTCAAAGAAGAGCGCAAGTCTCCATATACGTACGAGGCAATGAGGCTGGTCTCATCGTGCGCCCACTGCTGCCACATGGCGGGGGACAGCGGATACAGCGCGTTCATGGCCTCCCGTGCTGCCCGCAGCTCCTCCAGCATGCTGCTGCGCCGCAGAAGGGCGATCAGCTGACATGCGGGTGTGTGCGTGGGGGGGGGACAAGAGGAAGGCAAAGATGAAGAACACTACATCGCTCCCTCGCCTTCCTCACCTCCTCAAGCATGCTGCTGCGCCATAGAAGCTGTATCAACTGACGACGGGAAAAAGAGGGGGAGGGAGAAGGGGAGGGGTGGGTGGCCGGGTGGGGGTAAAGGGATGTTGGGAGCAAGGGAAAGAATAGGAGGACACACGAGGAGGGTTGGGGGAAGGTTACGGTAGCGGCTCATGCCTTCTCGCCGCCCTGCAAGGCGGGATTGATACCACAGGGTCGCTGCTGATGGGCCTAGGGTGGCATTCACGATATAAGCTTCCTCTCAAGCAGGTACTAATGCGGCAGCATACAAAGCAAGCAATTGATACCTGCACTGATACAGCAGCGCGCGAAACTCACTCAGTCGCGGATCTTTGTGAAACAAAAAAATGACAGCCCGAGGCAAAAAGCAGAAGGCGTTGCTTCGATGAAGACGGAGCGGTACCGAAGACCGATGTATTTGTTGTTCGGCCGAAGGCATGTGGAATCATCAGAGCAAGTGTCAAGTGCAAAACGACCCAGACCAACACTGGAGAAACGGCACTAGAAACCGTAGCCTATTCTGGTGGTCTTTCCGTCAGCAGCCAACCATTTCATTTTCTAAACAAACCATCACTATCAGGCGCTTTAATCTTGCTAATGTTGCGACGTACTGCGAGCCCTCTGTACAGTTGGAATATGTGACTAAACCGAATGTTTTTCCTAAATCAACTAATAGCGAGCAAGTACCTGAACGTGAGCCTGATAGTCGTACGGATTCGATGCGATGCGGCCTTTAACTTCGCCAATCAGAGCCTTTCGCTCCGCCTCCTCCGCTGCCTCCTTCGCCTCATCCTCGCTATCGTCATCCTCGCTATCATCTTTATCGCTGTCCTCCATGTCCTCCTTTTCGCCATTACCACCGTCGTCTAAATCTGAGTCTGACTTCCCTAAATCCGGGCCTTCCGCCATGTCCACGTCAGCATCACCTGCCTTCTCTACGGCTTTCTCCTCGCCACCAGCCATGACGTTTTTTCTGATCAGCGAGAAGTGACTAACGGCAGGAGCCTATGCTGCCAAATAACGAGTGCCAGACTGCAAATCAGGACAGGATAATGCGGAAGGGGGTCCAAATCTCGAGAGCTGTGGTGGTGGTAAATTCTCACGAATTGCTTTGTGGAATCTGCTGTACTTGCGTAGAGTCACTCTCGTTTACATGTGTAAGCGTCCTTACTAGTAATACTTGTACCCAACAAGACCAATATGGTTATCATGCTCGTGAATCATGATTATCTTATTAACAAATGGTTTTCTCATATTTAACATGAGAACCACTGAAAAATCTATTGAGATATTTAGAAGATGCAAAACTTCCAGGTTACGCCAATCTTCTAACCTTCTCTAAATGCGATACCATGTCTGACTTGAGTCTGAAACAAAAACAATTATTTTAAACCGAATAATGGAAAGAATTTCACAAACAAGCATCAATATAGCGTTAAATAATGAAAGTTTGTTGTCATGACAATACATGAGGTTGACATTTATAGATTGTAACAACCTGATTTTCGTTTCCCTGTCATCAATACCTGGGTTGTTGGAGGGTTCTGGATCTGGGGTTTCTTAGCTAGGGTTTGCTGCTGACATTTGGGGTTTGGATCTCTGGGTTTCATCGTTAGTGCTGATGTTCGCATTTCGCAAGGTATCGGTATTTCGCAGTCCCGCAATTTGCGGGAGTTCCGCCGGCTTATCGCATTGACGAAATTGGAAAAATTGTAGTCGATAAGAGGTAGTATCGACGGCTTTAATGTCCGACCGAAGTTCAGCTCGGGGAGCATTAGGCCTTCAGTTTGGCTGACTTAATAAGCCTGTCAGTTTGACTAACTGGCTGGGATTAATTGCAAAAATTAGCTCTATATCGGACGAAAAAAATAGCGTCTTAAGCGTTTCAGTAAGGTCCAGGCGCGTAGTGCTCCAACTGTAATTCGCGCTAAACATTTAAGAGTATATTATCCCCATACTTTTAACCGGTGCTTGATAGCACTGCAAAGCGCTTATACTGGGAAATGGAGCCCGGAGAACCGTCAGGAGCGTCACCATTACGAGAAAAGTCAAAAGCGGAGGAGGATAGCGCGGTCGCTCAAGCTCCCGAAAATGGGGAGACAGTTCGTGAAGACAAGGAAGAAAATTGTGCTGCTATGCCAGAAGGAAAAACGGAGGGGGGTAAATTGGAGGAAGGGAAGTCTCAAGGCGAGGCCCCGTTAAGAGCAGACACGACTTTGGCGGAGTCTGGGGAGAAGCCGCTGGAGAGTGTGACTGAAAGGAAGGGAGCCGGTGCTGGTGGGGAGCAGGGGAGACTAAGTGACAATGATGAGGGTGCCGCAACGGGGGGTTCTCAAGGGCCTGCTTCGAGGAATGAGGGGGAAGTGGGGGAAAAGGAGGGTAAGGCCGAGACGGAGGGTGGACGAGAGAGAAAGGAAAAGAGAGAAGGCGAGAAGGAGGCTGGAGAGGGTGCGGAAGGGAAGGTGATACCGGGGGGAGGTTCCACCTTGCAAGAGGATGGGCCAGTGCAAGCGGAGGGTGAAGCGGAGAAAGGAGGGGATGGTGATGGTTGTGATGCGGCTGCGATGGAAGTGGATACTCAAGCAGGAGTGACTAAAGCAGGGGCGACAAAAGCGAGTGTGACTGAGGCGGAGGGTACAGGGAGGGAACAGGGTTTGGAGTCAGGGGCGGAAGGGGGAGGCGGTGTTGGGGTGGGAGAGAGGCGAATAGGGCTGGTGGGAGGAAAAATGGTGGGAGAAGTGGATGGGAAGAGGGTGGAGTCCGGGGATGGGGAGGAGGGGAAGGGTGATCAGGCGAGGAAAGGGGATGAGGGCGTTAAGGGAGAGGAAGGCAGGGAGGGGGGGGAGGATGTGGAGATGAAGGAGGGGGGTAACGAGGGAGAGGCGGGTGCGAGGGGAAAGAGGAGAGTGAGGGGGAGGGTGCGGAGAAAGGTGAGGAGAAGGGTCAGGAGAAGCGCGAGGGTCTCGTTGACACTGGCAAGGAGCGTAGTAACGAGGGTCAGGGGGCTGAAGTAGACGTGACTATGACGAATGGGCCAGCCGAGGGAGGAGAGGAGGGCGAGATGAACGGTGTAGGGAAGAAGGGGAGGTGGGATTCGGGCAAGAAAGCGGAGAGCGAAGGAGCAGGAGGACAGGTGCAACAGCGGGAGCAGGGGAATGGGGAGATGGAGAAGCCTGAGGAGGGAAAAGGGAAGATGGAGGAGCATGAGGAGGGGCGGAAAAAGGGGGAGGAGGAGAGAAGAGTGCAGAGAGGTGAGGATGGTATGGGAGAGCAGCAGAATGGGAACGCAGAGGTGGAAGGGGAGAAGCAGGGCGAGGTAGGAGGAAAGGAAGGAAAGAAGGTGGAAGGGGAAGGAACGAAGGTGGAGGAAGAGACTATTTTTGAGGCGCCTCAAAAAGAGATGGAGGAGCAAGGGTACACGCAGCAGGGTCCATTGGAGTCGTCACAGCCAACCACTAACACTGATTCTTTTGTAACTGCTGACACTGCTACAGATGCTGCTGCCACTGCTACAGATGCTGCTGCCACTGCTACAGATGCCACCACTACATATGCCACCGCTACAGGTGCTAATACTACAGATGCCAATGCTGCGTATGCCAATGTTACAGACCGTGGGACGGCAGGTCTTATCGCCACAGAATCTGCTGCTACAGCTGCCAATGCGGCAGGTAAATATGTGGCCGCTACAGCCGCCCCAGGCAGCCCCCCTACCAGTGGGCTGCTCCCAGTGCCAGCAGAGCAGCAGCAGGCGTTGGAAACGCAGCTTCCAGAAGCAGCAGCACCAGCAGCAGCAGCGCAGCAGCAGGAGGCCATGGAAGCACAGCTCCCAGTGCCGGCAGAGCAGCAGCTGATGGACCTGCGTCTGCTCGCGCTGCAGAATGCGGTGCTGCCCCCCCACGAGCAGGGGGAGAGCGCTCAGGCGGAGACTCATGATTCCCCGACTCAGAAGGCAACGGTGCCAACAATGCTTTCAGAGCAGCAGCAGCAGCAGCAGCAGCAGCAGGATGAGGTGATGGAAACACAGACTCCAGAAGCAGCAGCACCAGCAGAGCAGCTGCAGCAGCAGCAGGTGATAGAAACGCAGCTCCCAGCAGCGTTAGAAGCAGCAGAGCAGCAGCAGCAGCAGCAGCAGCAGCACGAGGTGATGGACATGCGTCTGCTAGCCATGCAAAACGTGGTTCTAGTGCAGGCAGCGAACGAGGAAGAGGAGATCGACGTGCTGGAGGTGGACGAGGAGGAGGAGGAGGAGCTCAAGAAGCAGATGGGCGTGGGGGAGGGCGGACCCGTGGAGTATATGGTTCTAGGGGAGGGAGGAGCTGGGGAAGGGGGGATGGTGGGGGATGGGGGGGTGGGGGCGGGGCAGGAGGGTGCTACTCCTGGGGGTGCAGGTTTGTTGGCCCCAGAACACCTGCCGGATGCTGCTTCAGGTGGAATCTTAGGTGCCGGGATCTTAGGTGCAGCAGCCTTGGCGGGTGCAGCAGGTGTGGAGCCAGCAGGTGGCGAAGTTGCTGTTGGGTCAACAGGCTTGGGATCAGCAGGCGTGGGGTCGACTGGGTCACGAGACGATGACATGGTGGCTTCAACCATTCTAGGCCTGCTGCCCTCCCTCTGCCCCTCCACCCCTGCCGCTGCTGCCCCTGCTGCTGCTCCTGCTGCTGCTGCCACCCCTCCTGCTGCTGCTGCCTTTGCAGGTGGTGCTAGTGTTGCCGCTGGCAGTGGTGATGCGGCGCCTGAGGTGTTGAGGAGCGGACACGAACAGCAGCAACGGCAGGAGGAGGAGGAGAACGGGGGGGTGCTTGCTGCCGCCACCACCCGTTCGCCTGAAGGGCGGACGGGGAAGAAAGGTGCAGATTCTGTGAAGGATCAGCAGCAACAGCAGCAGCAAGCAGTGGGGGGACTGTCAACGCGGAAGCGGAAGCAGCAGCAGCAGGGGGGGGAGAGGGCGGAGGGGGATGGTGCTCCGTCTCCTGTATATGAACCCTTCGACCCGGCTCTCCCTGCCTGTACGCCCACTCTGCCTGGCCGCATGTGTGCTCATTGTAGTGTATGTGTATCGAGCCCCCTTCCACCCTGCCCTCCCTACGCGTAAGCTCGCTCTGTGTGTCTGCCTGCCTTCTTGGGAGTGGTTTTACCACTCCCGCCTGCTCGTCATGCAGCGGTTTGAGCTGAAGCACGCCATGCCAGCACTAATGGTGTCGTGACTCTGTGTCAATGTTCTGATACTGTGGATTGATGCCCTTTCTTTTCTCCCGCTTTCTTTTCTTTCCGCAAATCCCTCTGCCCTTGACCCCTGCTCCCACCCGCCCTTTGCCAGCCCTCTTTGTCATCACCCGCTGCATGCGCCATCGCACCACGTCCCCCACATCTCAGTCTCTCCATTCTTCCTTCTCGCTGTATCCTCCCACCCCCACTCTCCCTTTTCTCCAGCCCTCCAAGGCATCACCCGGCGCATGCGCCATCGCACCACGCGCCCGGCCTTCTGCCTGCGGCTCATGGCCTTGGACGGCCACTCCGCCCTGCTCTCCCCCCTGTCACCCCCCCCCTTCTCCCCCCGCCCCCACGCGTTCTCTTCACTCTACTTCCTCTCATATCCCCCCTCCTTCCAACCCCCTCCCCCCCTTCGCGGTCCCCCCCGTCCCCTCTCCCGTTGCAGCCCTCCAGGGCATCACTGGGCGCACACGCCACCGCACCACCCGCCCCGCTTCCCGCCTTCCTCTCATGGCAGTGGACGGCCATTCCGCCCTGCTCTCCCCTGCCCCCTCTTTCTGTCTCTTCCCTCTACGTCCTATTCATTTCCTCCCTTCTCTCCCCTGATCTCCCCTCCTCCCCCCTGCTCTCCCCCTGCTCTCCCCCTGCCCTCCTCCTGCTATCCCCTGTCCCCTCTCCCATCCCAGCCCTCCAAGGCATCACTCGGCGCACGCGCCATCGCACCACACGTCCCGCCTCACGCCTGCCGCTCATGGCCTTGGACGGCCACTCCGCGCTGCTCTCCCCTCCACACCCCTCCCTCCGCAACCAAACCCAAAACCACGATCAGCAGCAGCCGCGGCAGCAGCAAGATTCACCGGTCTCCCCTCCTGCTGTTCCTGCTGCTGCTCCTGCTGTTCTTCCTCCTCCTGCTGCTCCCCCTGCTGCTGCTGCTTCTCCTGCGGGCGTAACGGACAGCAAGGAGGGAGTCCTAGGCAGAGGGCGGCGAGGTGAGACTGGGGAAGGTACAGCTGAGGCAGGTGTGTTTTAGGCGCCACCTCGACTCAACAACTCGACGACCCAGGGTCACTAGAGCTAACATTACAAAAATTGGGGCAACTTCTACTTAAAGTTGTTGGGGTCACAAGACGGCCTTTGCCCAAGGCCAACTCAGTCGATTTATTCTTCCTCCCCCCCCAAATCTCCACTCCCGTCCCTCTCGCCGAGCCTCCACAGGCTCGGTGCCCGAAGCACCACCTGATTCGTCAGCCCCAAAAGGGCCTGCCTCGGCTTCCGGCTACAGTGGAGTCATTTTTGAGTAATCTACAAATTCCTTCCAAAGTGCCTCGAAGCTCTTCCCAGTCTCGTCTCTGCCACTTCTGATTCTCTCTTTCTCTCCAATCCTGTCCTTCTCTCCCAGCGTCCACAGGCTCGGTGCCCGAAGCACCACTTGATTCTCCAGCTCTGGACGGGCCCGCCCCAGGCCCAGGCGAGGGCTCTGGAGTAGGGGGAGCAGAGGAGAGAGTAGGGATAGGAGAGGCTGCTTCCCCAGCCCCTGCTTCTGCACCGGTGCTGCAGGCTTACCTCCGGTGCTGCAGGCTTACCTCCGGTGCTGCAGGCTTACCTCCGGTGCTGCAGGCTTACCTCCGGTGCTGCAGGCTTACCTCCGGTGCCTCTCCCCAATTTCGTCCTTCTTTCCACACTCCCCAATCCTGCCCCTATCCCTCAGCATCCACAGGCTCGGTGCCCGAAGCACCACTTGACTCTCCAGCTCTGGACGGGCCCGCCTCAGGCCCAGGCGAGGGCTCTGGAGCAGGGGGAGCAGAGGAGACCGTGGGGGCAGGGGAGGCCGCTGCCCCGGCCCCGGCTTCTGCACCGGTGCTGCAGGCTTACCACCGGAGACGACAGGAGCAGCCGCTGAGTGAGTTTGAGAGGGTTGCAGCGTGGTGGACAGTTGAAGTGATTTTGAGAGGAACGAGGGCAGGAAAGAGCACAAGGGAGCAGACGGGAGCTGGAAGGTAAGGCTTACCGTAATAGAGATGGCTCCCCGGCCCCTGCCTCAGCGCCCGTGCTGCAGGCTTACCACCGGAGACGACAGGAGCAACCACAGAGTGAGTTGGAATGGCGCATGGGTGCAGATGGGTGCTCCTGGAAGCTTTTGATTCGGCCTTGGGTACTCAAAAGCAGATGGGTGCTCCTGGAAGCTTTTGAGTCGGCCTTGGATACTCAAAAGCAGATGGGTGCTCCTGGAAGCTTTTGAGTCGGCCTTGGGTACTCAAAAGCGGATGGGTGCTCCTGGAAGCTTTTGAGTCGGCCTTGGGCACTCAAAAGCAGATGGGTGCTCCTGGAAGCTTTTGAGTCGGCCTTGGGTACTCAAAAGCAGATGGGTGCTCCTGGAAGCTTTTGATTCGGCCTTGGGTACTCAAAAGCGGATGGGTGCTCCTGGAAGCTTTTGAGTCGGCCTTGGGCACTCAAAAGCAGATGGGTGCTCCTGGAAGCTTTTGAGTCGGCCTTGGGTACTCAAAAGCAGATGGGTGCTCCTGGAAGCTTTTGATTCGGCCTTGGGTACTCAAAAGCAGATGGGTGCTCCTGGAAGCTTTTGAGTCGGCCTTGGGTACTCAAAAGCAGATGGGTGCTCCTGGAAGCTTTTGATTCGGCCTTGGGTACTCAAAAGCAGATGGGTGCTCCTGGAAGCTTTTGATTCGGCCTTGGGTACTCAAAAGCAGATGGGTGCTCCTGGAAGCTTTTGATTCGGCCTTGGGTACTCAAAAGCGGATGGGTGCTCCTGGAAGGTAGGCCTTGGCGTTTTGAAGACGGGATAAACGCAGAGAGCCATGCTTCAGCGGGCCTCTTGATTCTTGAAAACATCCCTATTCTGTGTGCCTCTCTTAGTTAAAAGCCTTTCCATGCCGGAGCTCTCTGGCTGCATCCGGGAAGCATCCCTGAGAGATTTTTGAGAATTCTCAAAATCTCCAGCATCACTTATCCCAGCCCCTCCTCCCGCCTGTCCGCCTCAACCCTCCTTAATTCCCATCCCCCCCTTCCTTTCCCCCCCCAGTCCACTGCTCAGGCAAGAGCCTCTCAATGCTCAGAGAGCTTTCAGTCTGCTCTTTCAGTCTGCTCTTTCATCTGCTCCCATTCGCCCAACGAGCTCTCACTCTGCTGCAGACGATGAATACATTCTGCTTCGCGCCCTGTTTATCTGCGCCCCTTCATCTGCTATCCCTTTCTCGTACCCACCCCCCTCCCCCACTTCCCCCCTTCCCCCTTCCCCCTTTCCTCCCCCCCTCCCCCCCCCTTTTCCCCCAGTCCGCTTCTCTATAAAGAGCCTCTCAATGCCCGAGCTTTCAGTCTGCCTGCCAGAAACTGCCACTGTTGGTGCGCTCAAGGTGTGTGTACCATAGTGCTTTTATTGTGTGCTCAAGGTGCAAGTACTACAGTGCCTTTTTTAGGGGGGGGGGGGGGGGGGTGTTCGGATTTTTAGTTGAAGTTCAACACAATCCGAAGATATGTCATTGTGAGTGATTTTGTAGAATTCTAAAAATACATTCAAGGCGAACTTAAGATATGCCTTCACGGGTACAAAAAAAAGTGATAAGGCCGATTCAAAGGCGTGAGCGGAAGTGCCCTTGCCACAGACGACACCCGTCGTTTCATGGCAATAAGAGTGCTACAAACGAGTGCACCACCTGACTATGTAGCCGTGTGTAATGAGTCGACTCAAAAATCGACTCATTACAAACGAGTGCACCACCTGACTATGTAGCCCCTCCATACCCCGCTCGCCTTCTTCTTTCATGCTCCTTCGGCAACGGCCTGCGCCGACGCTTGGTGTTACATGGTAACCGCTGCACGGACGATCGACCCTCCCTCCTTCCTTCTCCTGTGCCTCTCTCCTTTCTTCCCTCCCTTTCTCCATCCTTTCCGCCCCACTCCTCTTTTCTATTCCAGCAAGCTGTAGTAGAGGCAGCTCTAGCCTCTTTTGGCAACGGGCTGCGCCTGCGCATGGTGTTACAGGGTAACCGCTGCACGGATGACCATTCCTCCCTGGCTGACGTGGGCCTCTCGCACGCAGCCCTGCACCAGCAGCAGCAGCAGAAGCAGGCAGCAGCAGCATCCCTCAGCTTCATGCTCGACCCAGACCCGGTTCTGCTCCCGCCCCCTCCGCCTCCTCCCGCTGCTACAGCTGCTGCTACAGCTGCTGCTACAGCTGCTGCCAAGCAGGCTGCAGCTGCGGCTGCTGCGGCAGCTGCTGCTGCTGATCCCGATCCGCTGTTGCTGCTGTCGCCTCTGGCTCACCCTGGGGATCCGGGCCTTGCTGCTGCTGTGGCGGCGGCAGCTGCTGCTGAGGGGAGGAATGGGGATGCTCCGCTGGTCTCTGTTGCATCGTGAGTTTCCCCCCACTCCCACTACCCGCCACCTCCACCTCTCCTGCTGCTGCTGGGCTGAGGAATGGGGGTGCTCCTCTGGACACTGTTACATCGTTATTTCGGTCTTTTTTTTTCCCCATCATGTTTGGGTGCTGTCCTTGTGTGCTTCACCAAGCATTTCTCATTACCCTTTCCCCCTTTCAACCCTTCTCTTCTCCCCCTTGTCCCCCCCCCCCCACCCCCCCCCCTCCTCCTCCCAGTTCCTGAGGTGACTTTTGAGTTGACTCAAAAGTTACCCTTCCCCCCCCAATCCTTCTACCCTCCCCCCCCTTGTCCTCACCCCCCCTTCCCTTCAACCCCTTGCCCCTCCCCTTCCCGCCAGACCATCCCACGCCTACCCTTCTCACAACACCCGATCAAGCTTTGCAGCAGCAGCCGCCGCCGCTGCTGCTGCTGCCGCTGCCGCAGCAGCCGCTGCAGCCGCAGCAGCAGCACCAGGCAGCGCACGCAGACACTCAAGCCCTTCCACTCCCCTCCACCCATCCTACCTCTCCCCCTCCTACCCTTACGCCTCCGCCTCTGGTCCTTTTACTCCAGCTTCCGCCCCTCCTGCCACCACCACCACTACTCCCACCACTAGACATGCAGCAGCACAGGCCTTAGCAGCGATTCGCGCACAGACAGAGCACGAGCCAGGGGATGGTGTGGGAGGAGGGAGAAGCAGGAGGAGGAGACGGAACGATGACGAAGATTACCAAGAGGGGGAGGAGGGGGAGGAAGAGGAGGAGGAAGAGGAGGAAGAGGAGGAGGATGAGGAGTATGAGGAAGAGGACGAGGGGTTCCGGCTGCCGTTCGGGCGGTATGCTAATAGCGGGTATGCTTCTAAAGGGGCGCATTCCGGAGCCCTCATCCTACACCCATCCGTATCAGGCAGAGGAAGAGGCAGAGGCCGAGGGGGAGGAGGGGGAGGGGGAGGGGTGGGAGGAGGGGCGTTGTCGTATGCGGGGAGAGGTGGAGGGGGGGAGAGTGGAGCACTGGTGTTGCATCCGCAGCACATGCAGAGAGGGGGCGTGGGGGGGGCAGGGGCAGGGGCGATGATGGTGCACCCACGGGGAAGGTCAGCGGCGGGGCTGCAGCTCATTGAGCAGAGGAGGAGGATTCGGCGGCCGTTCACTGTGGGGGAGGTGGCGTCGCTGGTGGATGCAGTGGAGGTGCTTGGCACTGGCAGGTGGGCAATAGAGGGTGGGAAGGAATGAACTTGTTTTCAGAGAGGAGGAATGGTCGCTGCCCGTTCACTGTGGCGAGGTGGCATCGCTGGTGGATGCAGTGGAGGTGCTTGGCACTGGCCGGTATGTGGGGTGTGTGGGGGGCAGTTACCTGGGTAGGGGAAAACAACTCTCCCTCCTCCACCCCTCCCACTCCCCCCCCCCTTTTCCCCCCTCTCTCCCCCCTCCCCCCTTTGTTCCGATCCATCTGTCCTCTGCAGGTGGAGGGATGTGAATCTGAGGGCTTTTGCCACTTCAAACCACGAGAGAGTTGAAGTCCTTGTGGGAGATTTTTTAGAATTCTCAAACCCCCCCCTCCCTCGCTTCCCCTTTGTTGCGATCCGTCTGTCCTCTGCAGGTGGAGGGATGTGAAACTGAGGGCTTTTGCCACTTCAAAGCACCGAACATATGTGGACCTCAAGGTAAGTGCTTCTGAACATCTCAACTGCATTTATTTGTGAAATAACATCTAAGGCACCACATGGATGTGTTTCGGAGCATCTCAAGGGTGAATGCATTTGCATTGCCAACATCCAATCGAAGGCACCATGTGGATCCTAAGGTAAGTGCTGACTTTTGAGTCGACTCAAAAGTTTCTGAACATCTCAACTGCATGCATTTGTGACATAACATTAAAATCAAAGGCGCCATGTGGATCGTAAGGTGAGCGCTTCTTTTCTGGTTTGCTTTCCAGACAAGACTTGTTTCCCTCTTTGGTGCGAGTTGCAAGTTTTCTCGGCGCACATAATCCCACACCTGTTAACAGACCCTATAACAACCTCCACACGCGTGCTTTTCATCAGCCTTACAAAATGGTGCAGTAAAAACAGAAAGGTTTGTGCATCTTGTCTTTTTTAAACATCAGACTTCTGGTTTTGCACAAATTCCCTAAACCCTGCACTCATCAGGACAAGTGGAAGACGCTGGTGCATACGGCTCAGATCGCGCCACATCAGCGCAGGGGGGAGCCGGTGCCACAGGACCTGTTGGATCGAGTGGTGCAGGCGCATGGGTACTGGCAGGAGCAGCTCAGAATCCAACGCGAGGAAAGAGACTCGTAACAAGAATTCACCAACTGCACTCGTATGCATCCATAAGCGAAGTTAATTTCATTGCAAGTAGGCTAATTAACACCATCTCACTAAGGGGACATGGACTTGTCAGCATGTGGGGTGATGTCTTCTACACCGTAATGGAATGCACCATCCCTCTCTACACAGAGGGATGCATGCACTAGTATGGTACTTAGCTAAGCATCCGACGGTTTGTACATTGGTAATGTACGAGTACGGCTCGACATAGGCTTTGTTCTTTGTTGCAACACTTGTTAGACTAACACCCATTGGCAAGCTAGCCTGCAATCCCTGACCCTGACCCATGTAGCAACTAGCATAGTGACACTAAGAAGTGTGTATCGTATTTTTGCATTTTCGAGTGGGATATTTTATGGTCTGTAGCTACGATGTCATTTACAGCATTACAAGAAGTACCTTGTGCGTCATTGTGTTCTAGTGGTCCTAAATAGAAGCCGTAAACATTTATCTCGAAACGATATTTTATGTGAAACATAATATATATAAGCTTCTGAAACGCACCAGACCGTGTTTAACCCCGAGGCAGGCCCGAGCTTCCATAAAATTAGTTCAAAACACAAGTTCAAACAACGCCCCCGGTCAACTAGAGTCAACAAAAGCGCGTCGCACCGACATTCACCTCCTATCTACTAGTCAGAGAAGTAGGCCTGGGAGGTCACAAGCGATCCCAAACCGAATGAGCCGCCGAAGAGCAGCAATGGACTGGGGATTCAGGAGCTACTTTATTGAGTCGACGGCTGCTGCTCATCTTCTCGTTCGTTTTGCCAGATCCCGAGCCTTTTCCCAGAAATGCCTGTCTTTAAAGTAGTCACCGCGGTAGCGATGAGAGCGCTGCTGGTACGCAACGTTTCCTTACTGTGCGACTGAACGACTGAGCGACTGTGCGACTGAGAGACGGAGGGACTGAGCGACTGAGCGACTGTGCGACTGTGCGACTGAGTGACCGAGCGACCCAGCGACCCAGCGACTAAAACGACCGAGCGACGGAGATACTGCGTCATAAGTGGGGCTGATCGATCACGACCATGGCGCGAACCAGATTCGCCTCGACCCTCCCGTCGGCCCTCCCTTCAGGCCTCTCTTGGGCCCGCCCTTCCCTGCTGCTCCGTCTCTTCGTCGCGGCGTCCCCGCTACTACCGGAGGCATATCTCGTGGAGGGCGATCGCGTGGAGGGCGATCGCGTGAAGGGCGATCGCGTGGAGGGCGATCGCGTGAAGGGCGATCTCGTGGAGGGCGATCGCGTGGAGGGCGATCGCGTGGCACAATTCCCCGACTGCCCGCTCACCGGGCGGCGGCGGCGACCCAAGAAAAACCCCGGGACCCCTGCGTGGGCCATCCTCTCGCCCCTCCTTTGCCTCCTCCTGCTGCTCCTTCCCTCCGTCGCGGCGTCCCCGCTACCGTTGGGCTATCGCGTGGAGGAGTACCCCGACTGCCCGCTCACCGGGCGGCAACCCGAATATATCGCGGCTTTTCCGGCCGTCGAACCGGGCCCTGGCTCGCCGCGGAGGTGCTTCAGCGAGGACGACGACAGGACGTGCTGCGGGCCGTGCGGCGGCTGGGAGCTCGGGTTAAGATATGTGCAATCAAACGTCTCCCTCGTCTTTGACGCCTTTGGCGGCCCTGCTGCTGCTGGCATCGACCCGGCCAACCCGCCCACTGTGAGTGCTGCAGGGGAGATAACGAGGCTCTGGCTCGCCGCGGCGGTGCTACAGCGAGGACGACGACAAGACGTGCTGCGGGCCGTGCGGCAGCTGGGAGCTCGGCTTGCGGTATATCGGATCGAATGTGTCCACTGGCAGTGTTTTTGACTCGTTGGGGGGTGCTGCGGCTGCTGCTGCTGCTGGCTTTGACCCGGCCAACCCACCCATTGTGAGAGCCCCAACATCCAGTCTGCCCGCCCGGGCAAAATTCTAGGCCCTAGAAGACCAGGGGCGCGAAAAGTTGCTCCGGAGACTGCCCAGGCCCCTCCTCAGGCCTCTGGGTCGGCCCGGCGGTGCCAGAGAGGGGACAACAGGACGTGCTGCGGGCCGTGCGGCGGCTGGGAGCTCTAAACCCCTTTCAAACCCCTCATCCCCTCATCCCCAACCCCTTCCGTGCGCGGCTGGGAGCTCGGCTTGCGGTATATCAGATCCAACATCGCCTCCATCCCCTCTCCCCCCCCCTCTCTCCCCCCCCCCCTCTCTCCCCCCCCCCCTCTCTCCCCCCCCCCTCTCTCCCCCCCCCCTCTCTCCCCCCCCTCTCTTCCCCCCCTCTCTCCCCCCCCCCTCTCTCCCCCCCCTTCTCTCCCCCCCCTTCTCTCCCTCCCCCCTCTCTCCCTCCCCTCTCTCCCTCCCCCCTCTCTCCCCTCCCCCTCTCTCCCTCGTCTCCTCTCCCTCTCTGTCCCTCGCTTCCTCACCCCCATCCCCCTCATCCGCTTCCACCCACCCTTCCACCAGGCATGCGAGGCCCTTCAAGGCTGGCTATCCGCTGTGCGCGCATCTGCTCGAAATGGTCGTGCGCACCGCTACCTGCTGCCACCCTTGCGTCTCCTTCCCCCCCCTCTCTCCCCCTCCCTCCCCCTCCCCCTCTCCTCCCCCTCTCCCTCCCCCCCCCCTCCCCCACTCCCTCCCCCCCCTCTCCTCTCCCCCTCTCCCACCAGGCATGTCAAGCCCTCCAAGGCTATCCGCTGTGCGCGCATCTGCTCGAAATGGTCATGTGCGTGGCCACCTGCAACGCAGGTACCTCCTTTCCTTTCCACCTCTGCCCAAGGTACCTCCGCGTATCCCGCCCAACGCCGCACCCCCTCGTCCCCTGTGTGCGTGATCGTGTGATCGTGCGATCGTGCGATCGTGTGATCGTGCGATCGTGTGATCGTGCGATCGTGTGATCGTGCGATCGTGTGATCGTGCATCACCCCACAACTGCTCAGTGCGATCGTGTGCACCGCCACCTGCGGCACGGGTACTCCCTCCTCTCCCTCCTCTCCCTCCTCTCCCTCCTCTCCCTCCTCTCCCTCCTCTCCCTCCTCTCCCTCCTCTCCCTCCTCTCCCTCCTCTCCCTCCTCTCCCTCCTCTCCCTCCTCTCCCTCCTCTCCCTCCTCTCCCTCCTCTCCCTCCTCTCCCTCCTCTCCCTCCTCTCCCTCCTCTCCTTCCTCCCTCTCCCTCCTCTCCTTCCCTCTCCCTCCTCTCCCTCCTCTCCTTCCTTCCTTCGTCTCCCTCCTCTCCCTCCTCTCCTTCCTCCCTCTCCCTCCTCTCCCTCCTCTCCCCCCTCTCCTTCCTCTCCCTCCTCTCCCTCCTCTCCCTCCTCTCCCTCCTCTTCCTCCTCTACATGTAGGGATGTCCGTGGCACCCGTAGTAGTCCATGCAGCAATCGGTGGCTCTCAACTTCCTTCTTTCGAGGTGACTTTTGAGTCGACTCAAAAGTCGCTGCAGCGATTTTTCCTTGTGGCTCTCAACGCAACTAGACATGGTTAAAAAAATTCGCATCGCATCGCATTTAATCGCGCTTTTGCGATGGCATTTTTTTTTTGTTAATCGCGCGATGTTATTAAATCGCATTTAATCGCACGCAAAAAAACGCGATTTAGATGCAATTTGCGATTAAAAAAATAATCGTGCACGATGTAGAAAACATCGCGACGCGAAATCGCTCCAGCAAGGGGGAGGGGGGGGGGAGCAATGCCCAAAAACGCGCCAAATGGATTCTCTTTCAGAGAACTATACTGTACGGACTGTGTTTAGTAGTGCGGGCTGCCCTTTTTTTTAAATCATGGGGAAGATTTGGGAGGTTTTTTTTTTTGGTCTGGAAAACGATGTGATTTTAAAGCCCGAGTCTAGAATGGTAAAAAACCATGAATACTGGGCATGAAGACAGTGACGCGAGACCCCCACAAAAATGCGTTCAGAATGGTCGCAGGTGAAAATCAAGAATACTGAGATGAACAGTAATTGCGGGTTTGTCCTTTTCCGCGGCATTTGCAAGCTGCCCCCTGTTCCCTGAGAGTTGCGACGTTCAAACGGCATTTACTACGTTACCCTCTATTGGACGAAAACAAGTTCAGGATTCCTGAACTTGATAGCAAACCATTCTAGACTTGGGCTTTAAATCTCATCGCGCGATTGAAATTAAAATCGCGCGCAGTTTTTGATTCAATCGCACTCTGAACGCGATGTGCGATTAAAAAAGATAAAACAAAAATCCGAAATTTAAATCACGCGATGCGATGTTAAATCGCATCGCATTTTATTGAATCGCACCCCAACACTATGCGATTTAAATCGCAATCGAGTTTTAACCATGTCTACTCTCAACTCCCTTCTTTCCCACAGACACTGAGGTGGTTATGGAGGAGGTCGATGGGGGCCCACCATCACCATTACCACTTCTGAACAGATTGCAGGGAGGCTCCAACAGCCCAAACACTTCCTGTTCTCTTATGCCACTCTCTTGGCATTGATCTTTGTTTTTTCAGACACAGACACTGAGGTGGTTGTGGAGAAGGTCGATGGGGGCCCACCATCACCATTACCCCATCCAAACAGCTTGCAGGGAGGCTCCAACAGCCCAGATATTTCTTGTGTTCTTGTGCCGCTCTTTCTGTTCTCTTATGCCACTTCCTTAACGTTTATCCTTGTTTTGTCACGTGCAGCCGCTTAATTCATTGTGAAGCAGGTGGATGGGGACCCTTCACCATCACCATCACCGTCACCGCTACTGTCAGCTCGCTCTCCCCACAGCTCCCTTCATTCCTGTCTGATTGTCCCATTTTCACTCCCCACGCCTCCCACCACCCGCAGACACCGAATACATTGTGAAGGAGTCCGATGAAGGGCCCACCCCCACCATCACTGTCCACCAGATGGAGTCACGGAGGCTCCTCCCTCCCTGCCATCAACTCCCTTCATTTCTGTCTGCTCATCTCCGCTTCACTCCCCTCACCTCGCATCCACCACTTGCATTGCAGACACCGAATTTGTTGTGAAGGAGCCGGATGAAGGCCCTGTTCCCACCATCAGCATATGCGAGGAGCTGGCCGATAGACTCAAGGAGTCGTGCGCCGGAACTCTGTGTGAGTCTTGATTTTCTGCTCCAGCAAGCATACTTGTTTGTAAAAGGGTTGACGAAAGCCCCACTCCCACCATCAGCATATGCGAGGAGCTGGCCGATAGACTCAAGGAGTCGTGCGCCGGAACTCTGTGTGAGTCTTGATTTTCTGCTCCAGCAAGCATACTTGTTTGTAAAAGGGTTGACGAAAGCCCCACTCCCACCATCAGCATATGCGAGGAGCTGGCCGATAGACTCAAGGAGTCGTGCGCCGGAACTCTGTGTGAGTCTTGCTTTTCTGCTCCAGCAAGCATACTTGTTTGTAAAAGGGTTGACGAAAGCCCCACTCCCACCATCAGCATATGCGAGGAGCTGGCCGATAGACTCAAGGAGTCGTGCGCCGGAACTGTGTGAGTCTTGCTTTTCTGCTCCAGCAAGCATACTTGTTTGTAAAACGGTTGATGAAAGCCCCACTCCCACCATCAGCATATGCGAGGAGCTGGCCGATAGACTCAAGGAGTCGTGCGCCGGAACTCTGTGTGAGTCTTGCTTTTCTGCTCCAGCAAGCATACTTGTTTGTAAAACGGTTGACGAAAGCCCCACTCCCACCGACACCATATGCGAGGAGCTTTTGAGTCGACTCAAAAGGAGCTGGCCGATAGATTTAAGGAGACCTGCGCTGAAACTCTCCTTTTGAGTGACTTTTGAGTGACTGTTGAGTGACTTTTGAGTCGACTTAAAAGCGAACTCTATGTGAGTGCTGCCTTTCCCCTCCCTCCTTGTTGTGCGGTACTGGGTTGTTAGACATCTCCAGGCAAACCTGTTATCATGGAGGTGTATGGGGACCCCACCATCACCGTATGCGAGGAGCTGGCCGATAGACTTAAGGAGTCTATCACCGTATGCGAGGAGCTGGCCGATAGACTTAAGGAGTCTATCACCGTATGCGAGGAGCTGGCCGATAGACTTAAGGAGTCTATCACCGTATGCGAGGAGCTGGCCGATAGACTTAAGGAGTCTATCACCGTATGCGAGGAGCTGGCCGATAGACTTAAGGAGTCTATCACCGTATGCGAGGAGCTGGCCGATAGACTTAAGGAGTCTATCACCGTATGCGAGGAGCTGGCCGATAGACTTAAGGAGTCTATCACCGTATGCGAGGCGCTGCTCAGCACTCCTTTCCCCTTGCTTCCCTTTGCTCGTATGTCTGCCTCTCCCCTTGCATTTACCTCTTGGTTGGTTGGATAGTTGTGCGTTCCCCACCGAGGTCGTCACAGCAACAGGCAGACAGGCAGCTGTTCAGAACTCCTTTCCCGTTGCTTCCCCTGTTTGTGTTTCTGCCTCTCCCCTGCTCCCTCGCTTTTATTCCTTCAGTCGGTTGGAACAACACCACGGGTGGCTATGTGTTCACCTGAGAGGTCATCACAACAATAGGCAGGAAGCTAGTCAGTATGACTTTCCCCTTGCTTGCATTCCTTCCTACCTCTTCCCTGCCTGCGGTTACCTTTCAGTCGGTCGGATCAACACCACCATGGATAGCTATGCGTTCACCACGGAGGTCGTCACAGCGATAGGCAGGCAGCTGTTTGGCATCCCTGGCTTCACTGCTGTCATCTCCTTCTCAGGGGGGGTGCGTTTCAGTATTCCCCCTCCTCTCTCTGTTCTTATCTTTCTCAAACGGTACATGTATTGATTGGCTTCTTTTCAACATCCCAGCCTTGACTGCTGCCCTCCATTCCTCAGGGGTGCATTCAGTTGTGAAACGCTCATAAGTTGTCACAGAGTCATAGTAATAGGCAGAAAGCTGTACACACATCCCTGCCTTCACTGCTGTTGTCTGTTCCTCCGGGGTGCGTTTTCATGCAACGTCCCTTCCAGTTTGCATGCAACGTCCCTTCCCTCAACTACTGCTTGATCCGGTATATGCCCACCTGGGTAAGACGGCATCCCCAATAGCACGCTCATGTGAATAGTTTCGTTTGAGACGTCTCACAAGGGAAATACTAACACACTAAACTGCTGCTTGATTCGGTATATGCCCACCTGGCTAGGACGGCTTCCCTTAGACCACCCTCTGCTGGGGCTCATTCAACCTTCACTGTCTCCATCCCTTACGCACCCCACAATGACTCATGCTGACTCTTGTCTCGACTCAAAAGTCAGCTCGAGACTTGCGTTTACCCTCCCTCCCTCACACACCTGGCGATGAAGGCATTCCCAACACCATCCGCTGCGATCCGTTCACCCTCAGCCCCTTCCAATGCCCCCCTCACCCACCCCACAGTGCCTCTTCGGCCTGCCTACAGACGCCGCCTTCCCCAGCACCACCTTCTGCTGCGACCCGTTCACCCTCAGCCCCTCCCAGTGCCCCCCGGGCTCCACCTCCAACAACTTCACCCGGACTTACTATTCCCCTTCCTCCCTCCTGCCCTCCCATCCCACAGTGCCTCGTAGGCCCGCAAGGCCAAGAGGGCTTCCCCAACACCTTCTGCTGTGATCCGTTCAACTTCGATCCCTCCCAATGCCCCGTGGCCTTCCTATCCAACACCTTCGCCGAAACACACCCACACGAGGACCACGTCAACCACTCTACCTCCAAAAATTTCGCCGAGACGTATGCAGGCTACCTCAACCGTTCCATCAACGCTACCCAATGCATGGCTGCTGAGCCTTATGCGTATGCGTCTCCCATCTTCATGCGTATCCCTCCCATCACTCCGCATCCTCGATTCCTCATCTCTTCAGCCGGTTTAGGGCTCGTCACTTTAGGACTCTGCTGCTGGGTCTCCCTCCATTATTTTTGCAGGCAGCCCCATTTGAGAAAACACTTTTGAGGCGTTTAAAAGCTACCGCCACCGTTCCAACTTCCAACAGTGCTACTGAAGGCCTTGTCAACATATATATTTGTATCTGTTTATAGGCTAGCTAGGAGCATACCATAGAGAGTACAACACTTAGAACAAGACTACCCTGTATGCCCTATGCTAGTCAACTCGCTACTTTGAGATGGTATCACGCTAGGCTAGGTCCTCCTCTCCCACCCGCGCTTCCGCTTAGCCCTAGTCCTAGCACTAGTCTTAGCTCTAGTCCTAGCCCTAGTCCTAGCCTGCAGGCCCCGCTAGTCGCCCAGCGCTCGTAGGCCCACCCTCGTTGCCCCGCGCTCGCGGCCCCCCCTCGTAGCCCCCAGCTCGCTGGCCCAGCTTGTCGTCCCGCGCTAGTAGGCCCGCCCTCGTCGCCCCGCGCTCGCTGGCCCGCCCTCATCGCCTCGTGCTCGCTGGCCCAGCTCGTCGCCCCGCGCTCGTAGGCTCGCCCTCGTCGCCCCGCGCTCGCTGGCCTGTCCTCGTAGCCCGGTGCCCGCTGGCCCGCCCTCGTCGCCCCACGCTCGCTCGGCCCCGCGCTTGCTGGTCCACGCCCGCTGGCCCCGTGCTTGCTGGCCCATGCCCGCTGGCCCCGCGCTCGCTGGCCTGCGCTCGCGGGCCTCGCGCGGACCGGCCCCCTAGCTCGCTGGCCCCTCATTAGCCGGCCTCGAGCTCCCCAGCCCCTTGCTCGCCGGCCCGTAGCTAGTTGGCCCCCCAGCTTGCCGGCCCCCAGCTCGCCGGCCCCTTACTAGTCGGCCCCTCACTAGCCGGCCCCTAGCTCGCCGTTTCCCCCCCCCCCTCCCCCCCCCCTTACTACCCAGCCCCTTCCTTGCCGGTCTCCCTCACACTGACCCCGGTCCCGCCGTGCCGCCGTGCTGCCGTGGCACCGTGCCGCTGTGGCGACGTGCCACCGTGTCGCCGTACGGCTGTGCCAACGTGCCGTTATGGCGCCGTGCCGCCGGGTCGACGTGCCGCTGTGGCGCTGTGCCGCCGTGTCGCCGTACCGATGTGACGCCGGGTCGCCGTGCCACCGTGTCGCAGTGCAGCCGTGCTGCCGTGCCGCTGTAGTGCCATGCCGTTGTGTCGTCGTGCCGCCGTGACGCCTTGCCGTAGTGTCGCTATGCCGCCGTGCTGCCATGACGCCATGCCGCCGTGTCACCGTGCCGCCGTGTCGCCGGGTCGCCGTGCCGCTGTACCGCTGTGCCGCCGTCAGCCGCTGAGGTCGTGGGATGGCGGACGCTGTGCTACGCCTGGACGTGGAGGGTCAGGCGATCGACATTGAGGCCTGGCTCGTCAACCTTCGCCGTCACCTGACAGGTCAGCGCCAGGACGGGTACTCTCTGACTGTTCATATCGATGGTCTGCTTCGTCCTGCCGCGCCTGCTGCCCTTCCTGATGCCCCCACCCCTGCTGAGCGTGAGGCCTTTTCCGCTGCTGCGCTTGCCCGTGCTGTCTGGGAGTCGCGCAACGCCGTAGTGCAGCTTGCTATTAGTCACGCCCTCCCCCTGTCTGAGCGTCCCCGCTTTACCACTGTAGCGAACGCCATGGAATTTTTAGATGCTGTCGTTGCACGCTATTCCACGCCCGCCACAACCATGCCGTTGTACGCTGATCCTCCCCATGCCGTTCCCTGATCTTGCGTCCTTCTCCATTGTCGTTGACCTTGCCACTCACCTCCGCGCCCTTAAGACTAGCTACCGCCCCGCTAGCACTTAGACCCAGCTCCCTGCATTCCCGCCGCTGCTTTGCGCTACCCTGTACCAAACTGCCACACGCCTCCCAGACCGCCTTGCCACTGCCCGCGACCACTTCCTTAGTCAGCACCCTGATGACCTCACCCTTACCGCCTTTGTCACCGCCCTGTCCGAGATAAAGACCTGCAAGTGCACTATCACCCAGTCTAGCGGTACTGCGGCGGTCCCTATCTTTCAGGGCTATGCACCCTCCCAACGCACCTATTCTGACGTTTCTGCCGCTGTCGCTGAGACAGCCGCTGCGGCCTCAGCGCGGCCGCGTCAGGATAGCGGTCGCCGCCCCAAAGGGGGGTGTGATGAAGGGAAGGGTGGTGGGGGTGGTGGAGGTGGGGGCGGGGATGGTGGTATAGACAAGGGGACCGGGGCTGGTGCCCTGGAGCAGCAGCAGCAGCCGCAGTCGCAGCAGCAGCAGCAGTCGCAGCAGCAGTAGCCGCAGCTGCAGCCACAGAAGTGGGGCCGCCTCCCGCCGGGGTGGCCTGGTGCCTCTAGTGCTGGTGGCCACGGTGTCGGCCCTCGCAGCTTGGCGTCGGGTGGTAGCTTCGGCTCTGTAGGTCTTAGCACCAGCGTAGATCTTAGCCACCATAGCACCAGCGTAGATCTTAGCCAAACAGCTAAACTGTGCGATAGACGACGAGAGGGTGGTCCTCCACGAGATGGCATTTGCACTAAGGCTAAAGCAGTAGCCTTGGGAGGACTTGAGCATCTCAGCGTCGTCCGCCCACGAAGCGTCTGTGTGCCCTGAAAGGACCAGTGGCTTGCGTCCTCCTAGCACTAGCCCCATGCCCGATGTACCTGCTAGATAACGCAAAACCCTCTTAACGGCCGACCAGTGCTGTGGCCGGTGTTTGTGAGAGGATGAGAATTGCCGAATCCTCAAGTACATCCAATTGCATATTTGCTATCTATTATGCGTAATTTAGTGTGTTTTTACTTTCTTGGAAAACCCTACACACTTTCCCTACATAATGATATATTATATATCATGTGCGTTACAGAGTGTTTGACACTTTCTTTTTGTGACACGTTTTCTATTGCGTGGAGTGTTCAGTCATCGTCACCATATCTCTAGAATCCCTACCATGCTTCTAGGTGGTGTTCCTACAGATGGTTCCATTCATTTCTAGAGCTCTCTTAGAAGGTCCTAGTTACCCTTCCCTAGAGTTCTTGTAGGCATAAATACTGTAGCTTTGACTCTTTGCTTGAGACATTCAATTCTTGATTAGTATCATTCAAGCTTCCGCTAAACCCTTGACATGCGACAGTGTCGGCCTGTAGCCACAGAGCGAGCTAGGATGCTGAGAGGGTATGCGAGATCTGGACGAGTGCAAGTCATCTGGTACATGAGGCAACCCACGAGCTCTGCGTAAGGACCACTAGGCACTATAGACTTCTCAAGGACTGGAGCCGTGAGCCTGTGATCTACTAGCAGAGGTGTGGGCTGTGCGGAGGAGAACTGAAGGACCTAACACACCAAGTGTGTCTGTGTAAGAGTGACGGTGCACGCTGCACTGTCCCTGGAGATCTGCAGGCCAAGGTAGCGGCACATCTCTCCTAGGTCAGTGCAGGCGTGTCTCCTCAGCAGCTCAGCCTTCACGGAGGCCATTGCGTCTCTGTATGCAGTACCAAAGACCTGGTCGTCTATGTAGACAAGGATGCAAAACGAGGCCTGGCCTGAACGAACGAAGAGTTAAGAAGCTACTCTGACAGCGCGTGCAAGCTCAGCAGCGGCAAAGGCCTCACGTTCAGCAGACGTGGGGGCGTCAGAGAGGGGAGCAGGCGCGTCGGAGCAGAGGAGCTTACCGTCAACATGGACGGCCAGGGAATAGCCATCCTGGTGCTGACTCATCAGCTGACGGCGGAGGTCAACGAGCCACGCCTCAAAATCAACCGCCTAACCCTCCGCGTCCAGGCGGAGCACAGCGTCCGCCATCGCCGCTGCTGCAGCAGCTAACGACGGCACAGCTGCACGGCGGCGCGGCGGCACGACGACACGGCAAACGGCTATACGGCGGCATGGCAGCACAGCGGCACGGCGACACGGCGGCACGGTGGCAGGACGGCATGACGACACGGCAGCAGGGCGATACGGCAGCAGGGCGATACGGCAGCAGGGCGATACGGCGGCATGGCGGCATGGCGAGACAACGGCACAACGGCACGGCTGTACGGCGGTATAGCGGTACGACAGCACGACGGCACGGCGGCAATGCAGCACGACGGCATGGCAGCACGGCGGCATGGCGGCACGGCGACACAACAGCACGGTGGGACGGTGGCACCACGTCGTGGCGTCATGGCGGCAAGCAGAGACCATGGGGAGCTGGGGCCGGCAGGAACAGGGGCCGGCACAAACTGGGGCTGGCTCGAATGGAGGCCAGCGCGAACTGGGGCCAGCGAGGTAGGGGGTCGTCGAGTGAGTGTCGGCGAGCTAGGGCCAGCGAGCGCACGAGGGGCGGCAAGAGAGCTAGGGCCGGCGAGCGATCTAGGGGCCAACGAGCAAGGGCTCGCGCGGCGCGCGAAGGGCCAGTGACGAGCTAGGGGCCAGCGGGTGAGCTATGGGCCAGCGGCAAGCTGTGGGCCAGCGGCGAGCTGTGGGCCAGGGACGAGCTAGGAACTAGGGGCCGGTGCGGACTAGCGGGGCCTGCGCGGAGGGATGGGGCCGGCGCGAGTGGCAGGGACAGCGCGAAGAGATAGGGCCGGCGTGGACTAGCGAGGCCGATGCGAACTAGCGGGGCCGGCGCGAACTAGCGGGGCCGGCGTGAAGTGGCGGGGCCGGTATGGACTAGCGGGGCTGGCACAGACTAGCGGGGCCGGCGCGAACTAGTGGGGCTGGCACAAAGTGGCACGGCCGCCACGGACTAGCGGGGTCGGCGCGGTCTAGCCGGCCTGGCACGGAGGAACGGGGCCGGCGCGGGCGCGGTTCGGGCGCGGAGCGGCGCAGCTAGGGCTAAAGCACGGCTAGGACATGGGCTAGGGCTAGGGGCGGAAGCATAAGCGGGGAGGGGGACCTAACCTAGCGTGATACCACCTCAGAATAACGCAATGACTAGAAAGGAGAGTACCGGGTGGTTTTGTGCTAGTGTCTTATACTCTCTAGGAGCATGCACCTCATTAGCCTATAATGACATATGCAAATATCTTTGACACTATGATGATGATTCTCTTTTATATGAATGTCGTACCTGCCTTCATGGTAGCAGTCGAATCGTATAGGGAGGTGAGCCTCACCTCTCTCGTCGATGTTCTGTACATGGGCTCACTTAAGTGTCAATCTTCTGTGAAAAGTATTGCTTACAGTGCAACTATGATACTAAAAGAGCTCTTCCGCATATCTGCCTTCACAACTCAAGTTTCCTTGTGGCGGGAGATGAGCCTAATCGCTCTCGAAATCTCC